AAAAAAAACGAAAAAAAAAAAAAAAAAAAAAGAAAAAAGAAAAAAAGGAAAAAAATCACCTTGTTTAATTTGCTTATTTGTATATTGAATTTATTTTATTACGAAAATTTGGAGACGAGGCACTGCCCAAAATCCAGGTGTGGATTCAGGTTCATGTAAAATAAAGTACTGTGTTTCATTTCATACCCCAAATACCGTGGTTCTTGGAATGACCCACTTGACTGGGCCGTTAATACTCTTGAGTGTTTGGATTATTAATTATCCGCCAATATCAAAAGCATTCGCAAACTCTCCTATCTTTTAGCTCCCTAGTCAATGAATGATGCATCAGAAAGGGAATTTGTGGTGGATGGGACAAGCTTGTTTCAAGAGCAGTTACACATAAAAATAATCAAATAACCCAAGTCGACTTTTGAAGGAGCTAAGATGATCGAAAGCACTTGGAACTCTCAAATCTTCCTCCGCCTTGTCAAAAGAAGTGGCAGTGGCAAATCTAAACAATCTTAAAGAGGAATCACTGGTAGCACCCCTCAGCCCCAAGCCAAGAAATCAAAAGCTGAGCTCTGGCTGGAATCAAGTGCTTTCATGGCCTGAGTCATGGATCACATGTCATATCACCTTTTAGATTCTTTCACTCTTGGATTGCCCTCACAATAATACAAGACAAAGTAGTGGATATACTCCCGCAATGCCATGCGGTCCATGAGCCTAACCAATATTGCAGTGAGATTTTATACAAATATAGGATTCAAAGCCTGAATGTCCGACTTTGCTGAATTGGTGTCAACTCAAGAACGTTTATACAGAAAAACAAATTGATTCGACAGGACGTCGCTATGTCTTCGTACAAGCCATAATGGCACGACCTGCAGAGAAAATACAATATTCTGCCACACCACTACTCGATATGGATTGTAGCAGTCGATGCTCAATTATGATGTTCGGCCATGTCCTACCACAACCCGGGACATGGGAACGTCTTCAATCATCATGATAATACGGGTGTCGCCAACCTGAAAGTCGCGGGGTGACCACGGTAGTCACGTGTGAGTTATGGGGCACTTGGCCGCTAGCGTAGCTCGCGTAAATAGCCTACAGGGTGGAGAAGAAATGATACTAGGCGAGGGCAGAAGGGAAAGGAACATGGCAAAACCGACGGCCAAAAACATGAAAAAAATATATATATCTCTCTCCCAAACGATCTATGCACCCCGTCTTCTGCCATGCCATGGGAGGTTCCATGCCGGTCCTGTCAACTCTCCCCAGTCTAGCTTTCGGTGTTGCTTGCGCTATCAGAGCGGCGATCGCGCAAGCCGTCTGCTGATTGCAGAATGGGCCAATGTCCGGGTATGGCAGCTCACCGCGACAAACACCTATAGGCAAGGTAGAGCGATGTGACCCCACCAGAATGGAAGTTATAAATACAGGCGTGCTCCCCTCCTCCAACTCCGCTTCTGCTCCCCAGAACCTGCTTTTCTGCCCACGCAACAAATACTTTCTCAAGTAAGTCGGCCCCCTTATAAAATTAATACCAGCTACCCCACATAAACACCATGTCCATTTCGTCTGCGACTGCCAAACAGTACGAGGAACAGTACTCAGCCCACAACTACCACCCCTTGCCCGTGGTGTTCCAAAAAGCCAAGGGTGCACATGTTTGGGACCCCGAAGGAAAGGAGTACTTGGACTTTTTGTCTGCGTATTCTGCAGTGAACCAGGGCCACTGCCACCCCAAAATCATCGAGGCGTTAGTGGAGCAGGCGTCCAAGTTGACTTTGTGCTCGCGGGCGTTCTCCTCGGACGTGTTTGGCGAGTATGCCAAGTACGTGACCGAGTTCTTTGACTACGAAATGGTCTTGCCCATGAACACCGGCGCCGAGGCCGTCGAGACCGGCTTGAAATTGGCCCGCAGATGGGGCTACATGAAGAAAGGAATCAAGGAGGACGAGGCCATCATCTTGTCTGCCGTGGACAACTTCCACGGAAGAACACTTGGAGTCATTTCCATGTCCACGGACCCGGACGCCACCACCGACTTCGGCCCGTACTTGAGCGGAGTAGGTCCTCAGATTCCAGGCGAGTCCAAGGGCACGTTGTTGAGATACGGCGTGATTGAGGACGTCGAAAAGGCCTTTTCCAATGCCGGCGACAAGATCGCCGCGTTGTTGTTGGAGCCCATTCAGGGAGAGGCCGGCATCGTCGTGCCGCCCCAGGGCTACTTCACGAGAGTGCAGGAGTTGTGCAGAAAACACAACGTCTTGTTGATCTGCGACGAGATCCAGACCGGCATTGCCAGAACAGGCAAGATGTTGTGCTACGAGCACTACGACAACGTCAAGCCGGACATTGTGCTTTTGGGCAAGGCCATTTCGGGAGGCGTGTATCCGGTCTCTGCAGTCTTGTCTTCCAAGGACATCATGCTGACGTTGACGCCCGGCTGCCACGGGTCCACCTACGGCGGGAACCCGTTGGCCTGTAAAGTGGCCATGGCTGCTTTGCAGGTGGTCAAGGACGAGGGCTTGGTCGAGCGGGCCGAGAAGTTGGGCGAGTTGTTGCGCTCCAAGTTGGAGGCCTTGAAGGCCGAGTCTGGCGGCATCATTTCGGAGGTGCGGGGCAAGGGCTTGTTGTCTGCCATCGTCATTGACGACTCGAAGGCCAACGGCCGTACTGCCTGGGATCTCTGTTTGGTGATGAAGGACTACGGTGTTTTGGCCAAGCCCACGCACGACCACATCATCAGATTGGCGCCGCCCATCGTCATTTCCGAGGACGACTTGTTGAAGGGCGTCGATGTCATCCGGAAGTCTTTGGCCGACTTGCCAAACGCACCCCACGCTGCCCATTAATGCTGATGTACATACCTAGCCCACGAGAAGACGCTCAATCCTTAATAATTGAACAACGAACACGCAATATGCTCGTAGCAGACACTAGTCGCCCGGGCCTGCGCGGCGTAAAAACTCAGCCCAATACTTCAAAACCGATCTGAAGTCCAAAAAGATTGCAGCACCACAATTTCGCATATGGTCTCCCACTACACTACTCAGTGTGGCCCTATGCAGCTTAACTAACGTTGATCGGACGGGAAACAGTGCTTCCTGCATGGTATGGCCGCAACCGAAGAAAGAGTTGGCTTGTTTCTCTCAAAGCCACTGATGGAGTAGACTTGACTAGTAAGGAGTAGACTTGTTCTGCAATCTAATGACGATATATTTAATATGTAGTAAGAACCTAAAGGGTGCCTTGTGCATATATAGGAGTGTTGAAGGTCCTTAAGTCCGCTACAGCCATCTGAGTTGAGACGACTACTACAGGAGACCTATCCTAGGAGTCGAAGACGTAATACCCAATACGTAAACAGATACGGGTCATGAGGACCGTCCAGGCCGTGACTAACGGAAGGGGATGGGCCGAGTTAAGACACTTGGTACGTATCTGGGAGCTGTTTAAAAGTTTATTGTATGTATTATTTATATAGTTTTGCCCCTTTCATCAGATGAATCTACCAAAAAAACAATTATGGCCAATAGTCTCCATCCCTGTCTCCACCAGCGGTTTCCTTCATTACCCTCTGATATGATGTTTTTTTTAAAGAAGAAAAACAGTCGTCTCCTCAGAAAAGGCCCTGAGACTCCCCGGAATCGACGGCGTGATATCCAGTATGTAAATAGATTTGGGCCAAGAAGACCGTCCGGGCCGTGATGAGGGAAAGGGGCGGGGCGAGTATAGACCCTAGGTTTGTATCTGGGTGCTGCTTGAAGGTTGTTTTAGTATGTTGTTCCATAGTTTTGTTCTTTTGATCAGATGAATCTACAAAAAGTATAAATTTATGGCTTGAACGGTCCAAGAGACAGCTATTTGAGTACTCAAAACACAGTGGTGACACACCTCAGGATCTATGCCTTCGAATGTACTTCAATTTTCTGAATTCTCATAGCGATGAGGATTCTCGGTTCCAGACAAACCACGAAGTGACTGGCTGGAAGATTGCCATGATTGCTTGCCGAGTTCATTTCTGTCGTATATTTGACACAAAGAAATCAGGTTTGAACCTTCAACTTTGTAAAGATGAAATGAGTAAAAAAAACGGTTTAAGCATACATATTTTTCTCCTTTGGATTAGCCAAATTATTTTTCTTTTGAGAAGTTTTCAGCTGGCACATAAACCTTGGGTCTCACATTGGCTACATGTCAGGAAAATGACTGCCACCACTACTACCGAGCATCCATTATTTCAGTGAGCAGAAATTTGGCTTTTATTCACCTAAAAGTGCCAAAACGCAATAGTATCTGCGTTCGTTCATCAATCTTTTTACTTCAGTCACTGTATATCGTTGGCTCTCACACTCATTCATTCGCGTACCGTATTTGAATAGCTGGATGAATCTTTGTTCACCAAATCAGATGCCAAGTCAGCTGCAAAGCATCAACAAGATGAGAGGTCGGAACAGAGCCAGTATTAAATCATTTATGAGTATTTCGTCTAATAGTAGTGCTAATGCAACAATAATTTATAGTTCTAAGTCTCTTCATCGTCATCGTTCCGGCCATTTGAAATATGCCCCAAGGCCGCCAATCTTCTCTTCTTCTCAACTTCCGTCTCGTCTACTGAGTCGAAATCCTCTGTCTGCTCGCTCTCAGAAGTCTCTGGGAGTGTTTCGTGGCGTCCTTCTTTGGTTTCAGAAGACTGCCCGGCAGCCACAATGTTGATATCGGGTATAATTTGTGAAACAGGATGTGTCTCCAGTTGTGCGTCATTTGAAGTTAGTGTCTCTTTATTCTTGATTCCTACCATGGACAACGCTTTGCCCATCAAAGTACTAGACCTTGATCTGTTCTTCACAGATGGATGTCTGTTGAGCTTGTATCTCCTTATGATGTCACCGTCCACATTTTCAATGAGCAAAAGATTGTCCACTTGGTGAGCAAAGTATCTCTTGCCTTTCCCTTTGCTGCCTTTCTTGACTATAGGTTTCCTCCCGCTCAAAGTACGCGACAATTTAGTGGCAAAAGTCTCATTCTCTGTATTATGTTCAGATTTATCTGAAAGCACTGAGTATTGGGACATGTGTTGCCTCAAGGATCCCATGGAATGAATACTGGCACCATCAGGGGATGGTTTGTTGAACTCACCAGCTTGGCTCTCATCGTCATTTTCTAAGCTGACCGAGTCAATCACTTCACCGTCTTCGTCTTCAAGAATAATATCATTGCCATCTTCGTAAATAGCAGCAGTCATCTCCTCCTCCTTTTCTTCGACTGGTTCCTCTGCATTTTCATGCTGTGTGACGCCTGAGTTATCCAGTTCTATTGAGGCTTCATCATCTCTGGAAATAGCGGTGGATGGAGTTTTTCCAAGCTGTAGAAACTCCGCTTGTGGCCTCTGTCTTTCAGCTGTGGACGCGGGCTCAAAATCATCCGTTCTTTTCTTGGCCTTCTTTCTGAGCCGCTTTCTTCTCGCGCCCCCAGCAGGCCTGACTTTGAGACCCGAAGTTTCAATGGTGTTTGATTTTGGCAAATGCTGGTCGTGGTGTGGCGAGTCAGTAGTCTCTGTATCAGAGTCAATCCTGTGAAGCGAAAAGGATGTAGAAGTGTTTTCCAACTTTTGCAATCTCGACATCCACGAATGACCGTGATCATTTGTGTTTGTGGTGGTAAACGACATGGTGATCGCCATTCTGTTTAAACGCTTACCAAGAGCAAGTACTGCCACAGATGAGCCGTGTACAATAATAGACACAATCACAATAAAGCAAACAATAGGCCAAATTGAAGCAATTAGTTGATAGTGGGGAAAGTTTTTATCTGGGAGCTCTGCAAGAGGTGTTTCCTCGGAAGTGTAGTGTTCCTCGAGATCTCTTCTTGCTAAAATTGCGGCGAATATAGCACCCACGCCAATTGGCCCGAAATGGCCACAGAAGAGGGCTTCTCTCCAGGTTTTAATGTCCGGAATAAAAGGCTTGAGTGCCATGATTCCAGGGATTCTCCTCAAAAAGATGATAACGATCGCCAATACGATCAAACGCCATACGTCCAATCCGATTGCCGAGTTGTTGAAGTCTTCCCAAGGTACAATTGCACCAAAGTACACGAAGAACGCCAAGTTGAGAATCAAGTCGATGACAGTAGATACATGTGATTCCTCGGTCTTTTTGGCAAAGTCTCCGTTCCACCCAAAGGCAGTTCCAGCAGCGAAAGATACCAAAAGGTCGTCAACTCCAAGCAAGGAGCCGAGACCCGCAGAGTTAAACGCCAAAAACACGAAGAAGGCAAGAAACGATTCGCGGTCAATCAAGGACTTCTTCTCGGCAAACGCCACGGCTTTTCGGAGGACGTATCCAAGAGTCACACCCAAAATAATGCCAAAACAAATCTCCCACAAGATGGTTAAAGTAAACCAGTTCTTGACGATTTCACCTGCATCGCCGGCATCAACAATGAGAAACAAAGACAAGAAGATGAAGGGGAAAGCCATTCCATCGTTGCACCCCGATTCGGCAGTCAAGAGATTTCTTAAATGTCCAGGAACTCTCTCGGCAAACTTACCTTTACCCACGACGGCAGCAGCCAAGACCGGGTCAGTGGCCGTGACACAGGCAGAAACCAAAAGTGCGGAAGGAAAATCGAAATGCGGAATTAATGCCCAAATGAATAGGCCAACGGTCAACCAACCAATGGTCATCACTGGCAACAAGAGCAAGAGCACCGAAAGCCAGTGCTTTTTCATGTACTTGCGGGGCAATTCCACGGCAACAGCCACGATTTGGATGCATAAAACAATACGAGATATTTCCAAGGTCAAATAGTCACTGTTGCCCCAGTCGAGCGGGTCGAACCAGTTTAGACAGTGTGGTCCAAGAATAAGCCCGGCAATGGTGGCGACTGTGGCCTCACCAAGATACAAGCGTTCTTTAACGAATAACGAGAAAAGCGAGAAAAGCGTGCTAAATATGCCGATGCAAGCGTAGGCTATATGAGCCTGTTCTATCTAGGAAGGTTAGTAGGGCGATACAAACGACATCGACAGATTTGCGAGAACATGGACTTGTGCTTTTATTGCCAGATACAAAGCAGGTACATGGATAACACCTGATTAGGCAGGTCTGTGACATGCCTAGAAGAAAACTCGCCGTGGGATATGAGTATGCAAATTTCCATGAGACCGTTTCCTGCCAGTCACCTATTACTGTGTTCGAAGGCCCTCATATGGGCGGAGGTGCCAAAGAATATATGTTGTTAAAAATTCTCGATAATACAATCGAAGTGACATTCTGGTCATAATTCTGGAACAACTGGACCGGTTGAAACCAGGAGATGGGCTGCCCCATGGGCGCAGAATACGACTATGTGTGCAATTAAAGAAGACGAATATGGATCTTCGTGCTCGAAGTCTAAGACGCTCAAAGTCAACATACTTCTAGCTGGGCCCACATTATCTATGGGGCATTTGGTTTGGGTTAGAAAGAAAAGAATGCGAGAAGAGGCATGTCTCAAGATTGATGGTCATGGGCCATGCGCGAAGCGGCTTAGGTTAAGCAAGCAGGACTCTCGCAGTATCACCGAAAAAGGCTGTGAAGACTGCATCGTGTCAATCAATCACGAAGGCCGTGCGGTCACGTGACCCACGCCACCCAGAGTGGGCATCTGCCGGGTGGTCCAAGGGCCCCCGGGCAGAAATGAGCGTGATGAGAAGTCTGCGGGAAAATCGGCAATCGTCCTTACTTTCAGTCCTGTACTGAATGTGCTTAGTTAAGGGCAACAAATAGTATGCCGCGCTTTGACACCGGGAATGAGTGCGCGGATGAGGCTACCATGCAAAATGCTGAAATGACTGGGAATTATGTGAAGTCGCTTGAGATTATGGAAAAGAGCATGGTCTACCAAATTGAGATGGACGGTTTCATGGCCATGAATTCTCAGCATAGCACCAAGTCCCACGACCTGGGTGTTGGGAAAGTCTGGGACTGTACTGTCGGACCTAATACGGTTCGCGAATGATGAGGTTATGAGCGCACAGCCTCGTGCTGGTCCAGGCGTGATGTTCATGACATTTTGACCCAGCGTTCTTCCAGGATTTCTGTCGCATTGCGCCCATAAGCTTCATGCAATCTGACCTCCCAGGTTTTTCCATGTGTATGCCGTTAAAAAAAATTTCGAGCCACTAGCAGCATGTTTCCATATTCTCATCTCTGAATGCGCGCAGGCCTGCGGTGAGGAACCTAGATTGATCCAACGTCACAGTGGCGTATTCCTTCCTTGTGGATAACAGACACGTTTTCTCCAAAAAAAAAAACACTTTTCCCCACTTTTCTTTTTTTTCCTGATTGTCTCTCGTGCTGCATTTTCTTTACAGAATCTCAGTTAGCGCAACATCAACATGTCCCAAAACGGCATGTGGATCATAGGCTATGGGTCTCTCATCTTTAAACCCCCACCATTAGTCTCGTTCCGCGTCTCTGGCACCATCCAGGGCTATATCAGGCGATTTTGGCAGTCTTCTTCTGACCATAGGGGTACCCCTGAACTGCCGGGACGCGTGGTTACCTTGGTGCCGCTCGACGATTTGAAACAGCATGAGATCTTCAATGGGAGCGTTCATAACTACGAAATCCTGCCAAGCTCAGGAGCAGACCTGGCATTGAAAGAATCGGCACAAGACGTGTCAAAATTGCAAGCACACGATCTCAAAGTGTGGGGTGTAGCCTACTATATAGAGCCTGAAAACGTCGAAGAAGTTAAACAGTATTTGGACATCAGAGAACAGGATGGCTACACCCTCCATACTGTGGAATTCCACGTGCACTCCATGCCTGATAATAACCCCGAAGCCAATGACATACTTTCTGCTCTTCCGAGAGCAGACGATGGCGACTTGTACATCAAATCCCATGTCTACATAGGCACCATCGACAACCAGTCTTTTGTAGGGCCTGAGAGCATCGCAAAAACCGCTCAGATCATCAAAAGTAGCAGAGGGCCCAGCGGCGACAACTTCCTGTACTTGAAAAATCTCACCACATCTGTGATAGCATTGCATTCTGACCTGGCTTCGGCGGATTCGTACTTAGAGGCACTTACCCACCTATCTTTGCCAGCTTCTCAGATGGAACCGAAAGGATTTAGCCAGTTGTAAGATGGATATTTTGGCAGATATTGATATCTGTATCACACATGCTTATCTCGGTGGATCTGTCTTGACGTCTGATCTGATGAGATGAATAAAAGTAGGTGAGGCCTCTCAGTTTGCACTGCTTTTTTCATTGTTAATATTGAGCTAGCTTAGCGGTTGAAAGCATGGAGCTTAACATGTTCGCTAGTAAAAAGCCGTCCTTGCTGTGATCCTTCCACATACACTATACTGACGTGCGAAATCAAACTTTTAAGAATACCTCGTTCCCAAATTTCGACCATGTAATACATAACAAGAAACCTTAAGGAAAATAAAATGAACTTTGAATGCTCTTATGCAAAATGGATAACATATCATATTCTTCATTGCAAGCTGAGTGTCGCAAGATAAAAAATTAAGACCCTACAAAAGGCGTCTAGCCTTTATGGAATGTAGAGAACATTTATAGAGAAGTATATCGTTGCGAATCCCCCGGAATTTGCCTTAGTGTTACAATCATTAATCTTCCAGTATTCAATTTGCCTCCGCTATGGGTCTCGCCAACTTTCCGGATGCTTCTTGGGTTTCTTGAACCCCATTACATCTTCGGGGCCTTAATACTTGCCGAGACTATTGATGGGTTAATCTTGCTTTTAAATTTCCTGAGTCTCAGAAGACGCAATTCTTATCGTGACAACAATTCAGAGGCGTGCCTTGTGCAAGTAAACTTGAACCTAGTGGATTCCTAAAGAAAGGTCTGCCTTGACCCGTGATACTTTTAGTTCTCGATCTGAATCTTCTTCTCATCAGATTTTACACAAAACAAAAAAATGTCTTGGGTCATAAACAATTCTAGACGTTTGCATCAATAGGATCACAAATCAAGCCGCGGCTGTCCACCGAATATGATTGAGCGTGTTCTGATTCCAAGGAAGGTGATATATTTTGGTTCAAATTTTCAGCATCCCTTTTTGTACTTAAGCTAGTTGCCCCAGCTACTCTTTTGATATGAAGGAGTGAAGAAAAGAAAATAATAAATTCAACGAGTTGACACCTCAATGAAAAAAAGAAATCTCCCGGGGGTGAGTCGAACACCCGATCTCAAGATTACAATTATCAGTTACAGTCTCGCGCCTTAGCCAGCTTGGCCACCGAGAGGATTTCTGAAAAGGTCTATTTTTTTTGGACTACATCGCTTAATTTGAATACGAGAATTTTGACTAAAATTGCCAAAATGTTTTCAAAAGTTGTTTTTTTCTTATTTATTCAGAATACATTCTAATGAAGATAAAACTCTTTGGAGTTTTTGTATATTACAGAAACTTCAACTGGCTCAAATATGACCTGAACTCATCTCGAAGACTCCTGAATATTTGGCAGACGAGCAAAGCACAATTCAGGTTTTGCCATTAGCGACCCAAACATGGTTCCTTGGTACAACTCATCTAGACTAGTGGATTCAAAAAGCAGTATACAAAGATATCGAAATTTGTATTATGCCCTCTGTAACTTCCCATTTTAGTTTGTTCTGCATTCACCTTTGTACGTGAAAAGCGTAGTATCATCTTCCCCTATGATAAAGAGGTGTTTTATTTTTTTCCTATTCACTTAAAAACTGTCAGTCACAGACCGGCAAAAAAAGAGTCAAGGTGTGATTGCTCAATGGGTAAAGGGCTTTAGATTCCAAGAGTCTCAACACACCAAATGATGATTAGTTTAGCACGAGAAAGATTTTGTACTCTGGCAAGGTACTTCTTTATGTGAAATTGATTAAATTGCTTCTCTTTCTAAAGGCTGTATAAAGCTCTTTACAGCAAAGGAAGAAATGAAGTGCTGTATCAATGCGTTAAATCTAGCTTCAGTTCAAACAATATCTTTTGAGCTTATTTCGCTTGGCTTCAGCAGCTCCCATTCTCAACTGGATAAAACCTTTGAGCACATTCAAATTTCTTGCAAGAGATAACGGTCTGTTTGGCACGAAAGTCAGAAATCCCGGGAATACATAATTTGGTATACTAGCACACTTTCATGTTGCATTTGATAAGTGACTCAGATACTTCTCTTCTGAATAATTTGGGAGTTTACAGTAGTTTTTTGACGAATGAAGGACTCTGGAATTTTTCAGTGCTGCTCTATTATATTCGTGGCTTGGTTGTACCCTTGTTACATCTGGGTTCTGGGCCTTGAAGTCAAATACGGGATCAACGGTATCAAATGAGTAGGTTCACGTGCCAATTTTTTTTTTTTACTTTAAGGGAAAGACCTGTCGCAGATTGAAATGAAGCGACATTAAATTACAAATATACTGAGCTTAGCATTTGCCAAACAGGACGTTTATACACTTCGCGCACTCATATCTGAACATACTTCATATATCGAAGGATATGATGAAGATGGTTTAATTCCATTGACATCGTTTAAATTTTGAGAATTTCTTTTTTTTCATGCCCCAACACTAGATATGGGTCAATGTGCTTTGACTCATCTAACAGAATCATTATCAAACGTGCTACACGCATATACGTATGAAGACACGAAAAGCTAATCCGCTCCTTTCCATTTATTTCACTTAAATTACGAGCCTAGCCTAAAAGTTTCTCAAAAGTTTGATCTTAAAAATTTTTATACAAAAATGTGTTAAAATCAAAATTTAGTAATATATTTGTCGTTTTTTTTTTGTCCATAAGGCTGGAATTTGACTTTGGATATTTTCAAAAAGAAAACGTTAAACCAATAAAATTTAAAACTTTCACAAAAAGAAACTCTCAGTATAAAAACTTTGAATACCATTACATTTGAATGTTTTCCTCATTTTCCTACTAGTTCTTGATAACATTACATATAACGCATAAAAGATTAGCGAATTGGACGGTCTAAAGTCGACATTATGATCAAATTAAGAATTTATATGGAGTCGACTCAAATTGACTACTCATAAAGTCAAGATGACTCGAGAAGCATCTTCCAAAAGGGCTGAAATTCGTGAAATTTCAAATTGAGCTTTTTCAAACTCCCCTTTCATAACATAATCTCGAATCATAGGGAAAGTATTCCATTCATAGGTATCATCTTGTTCTGGTGCGTCGTATGGGACACCGAAGAGAAAGTTGAGGTATCCAGGCCGATCTGGAATGCCACTAGTAGACAAAAAGACACGATTGAATTTAAGCATGTTATTGTTCGCAGATCGCCTTGCGGCCGCTAACATAACGGGCTCTAAAGAGGAGGAGCTTCTAATAAAAGAAGTCCAGTCTTTTCTGAATCCATCAATCATGCCAGCCCCATTTGCAAGACGTTCGAGTCCGCGGTGCAAAGAGTCATATTGCATTTGAGGAACAACATCTAAATGCATGCCTGATATGACAGTATCAGAGAAGTTCTCTAAATCTTTTTTATAATTTTTCAAGGTATCAGTCAAAGTTCCGAATTGGAAAGGAATCAATGGCTCTTCTGCTAGACGCAAGCCAATCCTTGCAAGAAGCTCCACTATAGCCACATGATGCAGCATTAGAGAATCTTCGATTTTTTCGAAGTTTGAAAATGTATCCAAACAAGAATGTTTGGGGACCGCATCATCTCCTGCGCGGAATCCAATATCCAATGTTGGTATGTTCAAATAGTTAATAAATGGAATGAAATCCTTGGTTTGGAGAAAATTGTTTGAGATTTTGTCATTCCCTCCATGCAGCTCTCTGTAAAGGTCATAAAGTGTGAGTTTTGTATCAGACGTCAGTTTGGGACCGGGCAACTCAACTTTTTTCAATTCGTCTTTGATGAGATCATGCAATAAGGGGTTGGCGGTAACACTCAAGATGTCGCCAACATGAATATCACTTACCTCGATGTAAGTGTACCCCTCCTCTTGTAGTTTTTTCTTCCTGCTTTCAACCCACTCTGCAGAGCCCGCCAAGTTATACTCGCTGGCGTCAAAGGAAACAAAATGAATGGATCTCGCAGGCTTCCAATCGAATCTTCTTTGCAAAGAAGTGAATGCTTTGACAAGTTCAAGTAAGACTGCGGTGGAGCTGGCAGAGGTTGTTGCACCATACCCAACAGAGTCCCTTGGGGCACCAAAAATGATTCCCTTGTCGGCCTGTTCTCTTCCGGATATTGAACCAACAACGTTCCATATCAGATGTGTTGACCTCTCTTCTTGGCTGACACGAAGCTTCACCATATCACTCGCACTATTGGAACCAGACCAAAAGTTGTCTTCAAACTGGACACCTTTTTGACCTAGTCTCTGAAGAAGTTGCTGCCCATCTTTGAAAGACACTGGTATACATGGGATCTTGGCAGTCGCTGCCGATTTGCTCCAGCTTAATCTCGGAGAATTAGTATCATGAGAAGACCAGCCAGGTGTGAGCACGTCGCCAGGGCTGTGTCTGGTGAGTCCTACGTTTACTTTCTGGATGGAATCTTCACGTTCTGTGCCCGCCCAATGTATGATGGGAGTGACGAAGACAACAGCTTTTGCCCCGTGCTTTTCGGCTTCCGCAACTTTGTTGGCCTCTGGAATACCACCACCATAATTGATCACAAGGACCGAGCCCTTCATGTCGATGCCGCCCTCAAGGAGTCGAGCGAAATCAGTGGCAGATCCGCCACCCACATACAAGTAAGGAGCATGAATCTCTCCGTCGGAAGATGGGGAGTTGGGATTGAAGGCCCAATCTTGCATTTTGTCTCCGGAATCCTCGTAAAGAGTGGCCTCATAGGAGTCATCGGCAAGTTTCAAGTAAGTACCATCCCGCTTCGGGAAGTTGAGAAAACTGTCTAACTCGTGGAAGTCAATTTCACTGACTCCATTGTACGAGAAGTAACTCTCAACATATCTTGCCAAAGCCAAATCACCAGTGGAGCCAGCCAAGTGAGGCATGGAAGACAAGTACTCAATGTTCTCTTTGAGTGTCTTGGTATGGATGAACAGCCTGAGCGTGTCGCCAAGCTTGTCGATATCGTAGAATTTGCCACTGGAGAAGGTCCCGCCGCTTGAGCCGTTCACCCCGTCGGAGTTGCCGCTGATAGGGATCACATTAATGACGACAGTGACTACGATCACGTAGAGGAGCCGCTTGACCACCAACGGGTTGCCTATCTTGAGGATGGCTTGCTCGTACCGCAAGGCGATATATTTGTACGCCTCTCCCAACGGAGTGAGCATGTATATGAGCGGTGCCACCACGCGGTCTTTGAAGGTGTAGATGACTTGTTTCGACCGGAACTCGAGTCTTTGAAACAACGAGCCTCTTTTCGCAGGCTCGTAGACCTCGTCCTCGTCAATCTCAAACTGCTCGAAAGGCGGGGTTTGTGCCGCGTCGGCTGGGCTATGCGAATACGACGGGCCATCCTCGTAAGCCGGTGGCTGGGAGGGAAGAGTGTCTGTGGCTAACCTCGAGTAACTCGACGGCATCTAGGAAATATAGTCTGACAGCACCTTGCTTTGTGCCCCACGGTGTTCAATAGTAGGTCTCCTGAATTTGGTGTGTCAAAAGTAGCGTGTAGATCCTGGCGCAGCACCTAGATTTGCCAGTAGGTCAGTGTATGGAAATCGCCTCAGCCCCGCGGGCTCCGGTGTTTCTGGGTGCACCCAGTAGCGCACGTGACCATGTCTGGTGGAGCTGGTGCGCACTGGGGCGACAGGTGGGCTACTTATATGTTTGTTCGGATTTGCAGCACAAAAGCCAAGCCGTCTTTGTGGCTGAGCGGCCCGACCGCGCTGGCGGCAGTAAGACAAGTGACTAAAGGTCTCGGCGGCTACGGCTGTTTCTTTTCTTTGCGCTGTATGGTCATAGCGGAAGTCCGCTCCGAGCCGGAGCCCACTGGTGCACTGGTCTCCCCGGGCTTTGGGACAAGCCTTTGCGGTGGATGACAATGCAAGGCCCTGAAAAGAGAAATGTATTGTGGCCGACAACCAGAAACATCTTATCAAGATAGCGAAAATGCCTAACGCAAAGAAATCAATTTTTGAGGGAATGGACGGCGGCAAACCCTGAGAAGCAAATCCGACATGGCTGCCTGCAAGACGTCGCACCTGCATGCTTCCACTCACATAAAACGTGATGGGTGTTTGCCATGGAATTACTCAGGAATCCGAAGTCCGAAGCCCCAAGACCGGTGGGGACTCCTAGAACACGCGACCACACCCGCCGCCCCGCTTCACAAGCACTTTTCATATTAGCCTTCCCGAAAGGCTAAATTCGAAAAACAACTCATCGCATACGTTGGAGGTATCTCCGCAACATGCTCTTGGGTTTCCCTCAACTATGAGCAACAGCAATCTTGACGGGAGAGAAGGCGCAAAACCCAAAAACAAGAAGAAGCTCCCCCGAATCAACCGAAATGACGACTTCTCGGAACATATCGAGAGGCAGGTGAAGGCGAACAAAAAATACAGCGGGAGCTCGCGCAAGAACCAGATCTCCATCAACCATCTCTTGGACTTCCTGCTGTACCGAGATCTGACCGAATACCACCAAAACCACCACCGGCCACGCCGCCTATCATCAAACAGACCCCGGGTCTCGAAAAAGAAGCTTTTCTTGCACGGAATGCGCTTCATCAACGTGAACTACAAGTTTGTTGTGGACCATCGCAAGTCGTACAGGCCGCAACAGATTGACCCCAATGTTCCTGTCGATACGCAAGACATCTTGCGCATCATCGTGCCGAAGGGCAACGCGTGTCCCATCTGCCTCTCGGAAGAATTGGTGGCCCCACGAATGGTGACCGCTTGTGGTCATATTTTGTGTCTCACCTGTCTTCTTTCGTTGTTGGAAAGCGAGGTGCCCACAAAAATGAAGAAAGAAAGCAAGGCCGTCGTTGAAAAGTACAACGACTGCCCCCTTTGCGGATCGATCATCCGCAAACAAGACGTCAAACCCGTGCAAATAGACAATGTCGACGAACGTTTCGAGGTTCCCAAAATCGGCGACGAGGTCGTTTTGTCTCTCATGACAAGATCTGCCGATAGCGTTGTGCCGGCTCCGAGCTGGCTTGACGCAGGCTCGCTTCGTGAAACATTTCCGTGGGCAAACCAAGAAGAGCCGGACTTGAGCCAGTACCTGAGGTTTTTCAAAGGCGACTTCAGCTATTTGTCGCAGATGTACGAACAGGAAAAAACGGACTTGAGAAAGGCGCTTGAGCTTGACCAAGAACTCTATGACGACGACGGGACGTTCTACAAGCTCGCTTTCAAGTCCATTGACAACGACTTGCAGGAGTGGGCCTCGAAATTCTCGTCCGATTTCACCGATCGCAGCTCGAAGGAACCAGCAAAACAAGCGCCGGATCCACATCAGCCCACGTTCTACTACTACCAGACGGGCTTCAAGTCCTCCTCCACATACGTGCTCTCGCCTCTTGACATGAAGGTGTTGAAGACCAGCTTCAATCTGGACTATACGCAGTTGCCGTTCTCGGTGATTGCCAAAGTAGAGAACATCAAGTTCGAAGAGCTAGACTCGGAAACCGCTGCAACGAAGTACAAGTATCTCCTGCATTTGCCTCTGGGAACATCAATCGGCTTTTTGGAGTGCAACTGGCAGAACAACGAATACATCTCCAAAGATCTGTGGGACGCCTTCAAGCCCTCTCTCCAGAAACGCACCAAGTCGTCGTCGAGGAAATTCAAGAAGGAGGAGCTGGACAGGCGCCGTGCCGTGAACGAAGAAGAAAGAAGGGCCAGGGAGTATATAGAGAGGGAGAACAACGGGGGAAATAGCCGACACGACGCCGGCCAAGGCGCGGATTCATGGATGCCACTGGCTCTGTTTGGCAGTTTGACAATTACGGACCATCGAGAGCTTCCTGCTTTGTCAGGCGAGACCGCCGAGACCGAGCCGAACAGCAACAGCGCAGAGGTATCCGACGGCGAAGCTGGCGGAGGGTCCCCCCAGTTGCAGAAATCCGTTTGGGGCATGAAAATCCCCAAAACCGACTCGAGGCATGTTGAAGAAGAGGATGCGTGGGACGCCGAGGAAATGATCCGGAAGGCTCGCGAGGAGATTGCCAGGTACGAGGCGGAAAACCCCAGCGGCAAGAAGAAGAAGAAGAAGAAGTTCATACTTCTCTCGTCGTGAGTGGCGTGCCTGTTAGGCCCTGAGGCAGAGCCTGTTCTGGCGTGCCGTCGTGTGCCATTGCACCTGGGCTAGACATGGTGCAAACAATGGGCTGCTCCCTGCGCTAGCTTCCATTTTTTCGGCAGACGACGAAAAACCAATTCTGATCACTGGCTCCTTCGCTATCCCAAAACCCAAAAAAATCATTGGGTGGACGAAACGGGCCGAAAATGGTTTTCCGTCTTTGGACGCGGCTCGGTGCTGGCCCGCGTCCCCGGCCGCACATAAACTCATGCGCGAAGACATCCCCGGCCGCACATAAACTCATGCGCGAAGACACCACCTGTTCTTATCATCACATCACCATGGGAAAGAAAGTCAACTTAAAGTACGTAACGTGTAATGCACAGCAGGCAGCAAAAAGGCTTTGCTATGTTTCATCGGCCCGGAACAAAAACTAACATTTCAGCTCGGTGGCAGAATTGCGCCTGGCCGTCGACGAGGCACTTCCAGAGCTATTCCAGCAATTGGGCTACGAACAATCGTTTGCTCTTGGCGACCTCAAGCTTGCGCTCGGTTTTTCCACGGTTGCCATTGCAGGCGGGCTCTATTACTTGGAGAAAAACGTCTCGTTCAACGACAGCTACTACGTTATAGTGGCACTCATTGCGCTATACGCTGTCATTTCTGCGGCGATGTATGTTCTCTCGAATGGCAAGGGCTACAAGAACAACAAGTACATTGGGTTCAACGAGAAGAAACAGAAGATTTCGGTGTATGCGCTGGCGGAGCCCTTTGACCCGATCTATGACGTCAAGGTGGTCATAAACGACAATTTCTCTGCGCCAGTCACCGAGAGCATTCCGTTTGCCAAGATGTTTGATGCATTCGGCTTCTTGAACCACGAGGAAAGCAAGCAGATATTCAGAGAGCTTTTGGAGAAGAAGCAGCAGTAGTCGCGTGGCCGAGCGGAGCACCGAGGAAATGCTGGTGGTCATATATGGAATTATGTAAATGGGAATGAAATTGTATCAGTGAGTGTTTTTATTTAGTGGGCGACCTCAGGGCTGGGAGCTGGGGCCGGTCCAGTCTGAGCACTGGTGTGTTTGATGGAGCGATCATGCGGCAACGTGTTTAGTCCATGAAATGTTTGAAAAAGCGATCATACGACAACGTGTTTAGTCCATGGAATGTTTGAGAAAGCGATCATACGACAACGTCTTTCGTCCATGAAATGTTTGATGCAGCGATCATACGACAACGTGTTTAGTCCATGAAATGTTTGATGCAGCGATCATACGGCAACGCCTTTCGTCCATGGAATGTTCAACCAAGCCACCGTGCGACAATGTGTTAGATCCATGGCATGTCCCCGGAAGCATCGCAGGGCGGCCTAGGGCTTGATCTTCTCGTCCATCTGCGAAAAGTCCCGCGCCATCTGCTGTAGTTTCCACGGTAGCGCCTTGATCAAATAGCCGAAGTTTGCGTAGAACGGCTCACACATAACGCCCTCCTCGCCTAGTTCGACCTTTTCGAGAATGGACTCTGCGAGTGCACGGTGGTCCACGAGTGGCGCCACAAAGCGTCTGCTGGGCTCAAGGTCACTGAACATCTGCGTGGTCAACTGGCCAGGCATCACCAAAAGCATTCTCACGGAGGGAAGCTCGGCCAACTCGCGTGAGAGCACCTCGTGGAACTGCGTGGCTGCGGCCTTCGAGGCAGAGTACGACAGGAGGTTCCGCGGCCCCAAGGCCGCAAGCACCGACGAGACCGTGACGATGGATAATCTGCGATGTGCGTGGGTGGCCACGTGCTCCGAGACCACGCGCTGCAAAATCGACACCGGGGCAAAGGTGTTGACTGTGAAATCGCGCTGGATGGACTCTCTCGCCATGGCCAAGAGACACCCGTCCAGCCGCACGCCCGCGTTGTTGATGACCACACTGACCGGCCGGCCCAGCGCCTTGCACCGGGCCGAGATCTGCGACAACGCCGCGTCCACGGCCTGCCACGAGGCCAAGTCGCACCGGAGGAAAAGCACGGCGTCGCCAAGGCCCGGCTCGGGCTCCGTGATGTCCAAGACAAACACCCGCAGGAGCCTGTGTTTCTGCAGGAGCATTTTCACCATCTCGAGCCCAAGCCCGCTCAGGCCTCCGGTGACAATTGCCACGTCATTGGGCCCCAATGGGGGAAGAGGGGAGGTAGGGAGCTTGGCGATTCTGTTTGTTAGTGCAAGCAACTCGACGCCGAGGTAGACGGCCCCTGCGAGAAGGCCAGCCCGGTCGGAAACACAGCGTATGCTTGCGGGGTTAGTACATCACGTGACGCGAGGGCTTCTGCGGCCGGCTCGTACATACCATAGGCCGCATAGAGCCACGGCGGCCCAGATGCGGTGTTGCGTGAGCCGATGGACTAGAGAGTCCACGCTAAACAGGTACGCGATGGGCATGGTGCGGGTTTGTATTTGGGGCGTGCGTCCTGATCGTTGGCCGCGAGAAATGCTGGTCCGGGGCAGGCTTGCGGATATCGGAAATACAATTCCCAATGGTTCAAGAGCAGCTCAAAAGACGGCACCACGGATGAACGCCGTATCCGGCGACAGTGGGCCAGAGTAGACCACGGGGCCTGGGCCGGGCCCGGCGCGGCCCTGCACGACCCATGCACGATGCGGGCTCCGTGCAGGAAGCGAGATGGGGCCTGTGCGCTTCATTGACAATGTCCCCGTTGAGCACAGACCATGGCAATGAGAGCAGGGCTGGCAGAAAGGCCGGTAATTTCATTCCCGCACTTCCACCGGATGATCAATTCCATTAAATGAATAATGCCCGTTAAGCGAGTTGCACCGGATGGTCATTTCCATTGATGAATCCAAATAATGATCATTTGCAATGACTGAATCCAGCTGATGCTCATTTGCATTAATGCACATGATGGTCAATCCCATTTAGTGGGTACCACTGGATATGCATTTGCAATGACTAAACTCCAGTTACTTTCCATTGACGGAATTCCTGCTCATTTTCATTGACTGAGTCCACATGATGTTCATTCCCATTGACTGAGTCCACATGATGTTCATTTCCATTACCTGAATCCAAATAATGCTCATTTGCATTAATGCACATGATGTTCATTTTCATTGACTGAGTCCACATGATGTTCATTCCCATTGACTGAGTCCACATGATGTTCATTTCCATTGACTGAGTCCAGCTGATGCGCATTTCCATGAAGTCAATTCCTGGCACTCAGTTATCTGAATACCACCGAACATCAATCCACACCATGCGACGCACACCAGACCAAGCACCCTCAAGCCCCAATCACGCATTGCGGTTCTCCACATCAAACGCGTAGCCACGTGCAATGCCACTGGTGCCTTCTTCCACGGCAGCACCGTCTGCATCTGCATCCTCGGTCCAATCGCTTCCCAATCCAGTCCACTGTCTGGTCTGGAGATGTGCTGCAGATGTTGAGACCGTCCCGCGGAGGGCCACAGCGCCAGAGGGCCTTTGCACCAAGGCACCGGGGTTGCCGTTCGGCGTGCCCGCAGAGTCTCCGCTTTGCAGATCATCGGCCTCGTTCATGGTCACCCGGAGGTGCTGGAGTCGCCGTAAAGGCCGGGCCGTGCTTGTATACAGCCCCGTGACCGGATTGAACTCGGGCTCCTCGTCGCTTTCCTGGTCTTCGGGCAACCCGCTGTTTTGCGAGCTCTCGCCTTGTGGCGCCTCCGGCACGTCATCCTCGCCTATCTCACTCAAGACGTTTCGGAAGTCCGTGACCCATTTGCCCGTCCAGCTGAACTCATCGCCAATGGCGAGAATAAGCTCGTACGGGGTGACAATCGGCTTGAAGTACTCGCTGGTCTGGTCCAAGATGATGCCCTGGTGGTCACACCCGAGCACACACCACATGTCCACAGCCTCGAAATTGGCTAGCTTCGCCACGTTGGGCTTGCCGACCACGAAAATATAGTGCTTCTTTCCGGCCTCCTTGATTTTTTTTGCGAGCTGGTTGACCAACACTTTGGTGTTGGCAAGCGAGAGCGTGTTGACAAGTATCCCGACCGTTCCTGCTGCCCTAGCCATGTGCATGTACCTGTAACGGCGCATCAAGTTGGGAAATGGTCCCTGCGATACCTTGTTTTCGTGGAACGTGGTCACCGACTGGAACTTCGTGGTCAATTGGAGGAGACGAGGCGCCTCGGGAAGCCCGATGTGGAAGAGGTCGTACTCGCTGAGAACCGAGTCATCATTATCTTCCACATCAAGCCCTCTGAACACCCTCCCAAGCGCACGGAGGTTGCTGGCTGGACAAAGCTGTGGCTGGTGTCCGATGATCAGCGAGTGCTCGTCAGACAAATTCAAGTCCGTGACAATTATTTGGTATTCGCTGAGCCTCCTTGCCAAGGCTTCTAGAAGATACGTGTGGGGAGCATCAGCGAGGAGCACCACTTTCTGGTCTTTGAATGAAGACAAAGGATACCGGGCCTCGAACTCGCTTGCAAGGTGTCCTAAATCAAGGCGCGGTTTCCCAAACACGTATGCCGAAGACAAGGACGCCACCGGGTTTAGACAAGCGTCTCCAAAGTGGACTACCAAGTCAGAGTTCACGTGCTGTGCTGCGACCTCATCAATACAGCAGGCAGAATACGATGTGTCGGCCAAAATCCACAATCTCTGGTTGGAGTCCATGGGGTCAGAGCAGCACGAACTTTGGGTCACGCATTTGCTTGTACAACTTCCACTTTGACACTTCAAACCGGGAGCCTTTTCTTCGGAAGAACACAGGAGGTCTGGCGGTTGACTGCAAGTATCTTGGCTGGTCAACTTGAGCTTTTTCTGAAGTTCCTGGACGATCGTGGCCGAGTCACAGATCAACAGGTCTGGAAATTGAAGGGTGACCCTTTTGTACTTGTTGCCCTGCTCGCCATTTTCTGCGGGAGATGTCCCGCACAAAAATGAGGCCAACTCATCTAGAGAGTAGTACTCGTGGATTCTTGCAACATAGTCATCGCCCTCTGCGAGCTGAAGATGGGATCTTCGAATCTCGGCCTTGTTGACTTTCGCGTAAGTAAACGCAGAATCGTCTTGTGGCGTCGAAAGGGCTGGAGCTTGTATTTCGTCAGTGGCCATTTCGAATTGAGCGATGACTTCACCGATTTGACTATTGGCGCCAACCTCATCTCTTGACTGTTTCGCGAGATGACTGTCTATGCCATACCATCATCCTGCATCGGGCACGCGACGGCACTGAATTAGCGAGTGGTCTTTTCTTAAATTCTTTTGCAGTCCATGTCTTTTGCGACAATCAGAGATTATGTAGTATTCTTTTTTGTGTATGCGGCACTGACGCGTTGACTCAACAGCGAGCGGTAGTGGAATATAGGGTTGCGACTCAATTAGGGAAAATACTCACTCGGCCCATGTGGCCGGAACAGGCCTATATACCATGACAGAACCTCCTGTCATATTGCCCAAAACATATTCTCCCTTCCTGACAATTTTCACCCCCTGGACGTTTTGCTCCAACACCAACAAACTTTCTTGACCTTTCTCAATCACAACGGCGGTGTGATTCGGGCTTCCAACGGTTTGCGTGACGCCTGTATGCTTATTATAGAAAGTGGCCAGTTTGAATTGCAAGACGTCTCCCGGTCTGATCTCGTCCTCGGGACCCTTAGATACTGTTTTGCCTGAGGCAGTGCCCGTGAGTTCCAAAATAGGATAGCCATGGTGATAATACTGCGAGACGAACGCATGTTTGCCACATCCCTTAGCGAGTGCTTCCTTGGCGAGATCCCAACACTCCCCAGTCCCAACTTGTTGGCCCTCTTTGTGTGAGCACCAGGAAGTCACATAACCCCCGAATTTCTCGCTGTATTCCACCAACTGCTTCTTTGTAGGACAATTGTGTTCAATTGGCGATGGAACAAATTTGATCATCTCCCCTACCGCGTCCGCGAATCTGTCACCAATCCATTTTATCTGGTAAATTGCCCTCGATAAATCCTGAAATCTCACGTCTAATGTACGTATGTTTTCTTGCAGAGGTCCACTAGGAAAAGACTTAGTGGTGGTCAGGAAGCTCGAGGAGTAATTGAGGCCCAGAAGCGCAGAGGGAAGCACAAGAGGAGAGTCTATGTTGGCATACCAACCGGTGGATAGCTCGAGGTCCACCGTGGGACGCACAACTGCTTCTTGCGGTACTGGTGCTGGAGCCCTGGTGTAATTCCTCGCGGGCGGAGGAGGAGGTGGAGTTGAAGATGCAGAAGACGTGTTGGATTGAACTTTGGAATTTCTCGATGGCGGCACGGGAGGGGGAGTGGACCGGGTGGATCTGGGGTCCAGGGAGGGTGATTCCAATTCGTCTGGCTTCCTGTTTTGATTGAACTGGCCTTTCACTGGTACTCTAAAGCCTGGCACAAGACGGTTGACAGAAGGGTGGGTTCCGGGTTCGGCCAGAAGCGGTATTTGCACAGGGCTTGGAAACGACTTTTCCCGACTGGGCGTTTCATGGCTGGATTCAATGCCCGCCTGTTCCGCGTCTTTGTGGCTCTCTTCGTGATGAAACTGGCCCTTGACCGGGATTCTGAATCCCGGCATATGGCTCTGTGGAGTTGGGTGGTTTAAGCGCTCGACGGAGAAAGGCAACACGAGAGGTTTGGGTGCCTGCTTACTTGGTATGCTCCGAATTTCTGGGGCTACCAGTGAAGGGGTGGAAAAGAACACCGCAGGCTTACCTGGCTTCGGTGGTTTTTGGGGTTTCGGGGGCTTCGCGGGCTTGTCATTTGATTCGGGCTTGGCCGTTTCAAAGGTGGCTGATTGCGATGGAAGGACCGGCTGCTGGTTTAGCTGGGGCTTTGACGGCTTAACAGGCCGCTGGGGCTTCGCATGGCTCTCGGGACTTTGAGACCCGGGGCCTTGCGACATATGCAGCTTCAACATGGCGATCTCAGCGGCAAAGTTTGGTGCCGAAGGCATGGACGCGACAGGAGCCACTCCCGTCGGTTCAGAGGGCGCCTCAAGGCCATTCACAGACCGGATTCCAGGATTGTGAGGCAATGGACTTTGCTGAGGAAGAGACGGCGACGCGCTTGGCGGAGCAAGCTCGCTCTGCTGAAGTTTTGCCGGTTTGGGAGGAGGGGTTTTCTTCGGTTTCACCGGCGGCACCGTTGTATGAGAGGGTTGCGGAGAGGCGGCTGCACTGACCGACACGGGCCTTGGAGGCGGGGACACCACACTAGCGCTGCTTACGGACGCGGCCGACTCGGTTCTGGAAGCTGGCCATTCGGCCGCACCCGGCCTTCTGGGCGGCGGGGGCCCGAGCTTGGAGACGTCGATGGCCGTATATCTCACAGGGGCGCGAGAGGGCGGTTGATCCGAGCCGTTCTCCGAGCCGTGGCCCAAAGAGCCCGCCGGCGCGGGCGCCGTCTCTGAGTATGATGGCGGAGGCGATGCGCTCACCGAGCCTGCTCTTGGTGGTAACGACGGAACATGGGCCCCTGCCGACGAGAGTGCCCCGGGCTGTCCCTGAGCCTGCGCCTCGCCTCTGTCTCTGCGCACTGGCGGTGGCGCAAACATCGACACGTCGGGCGGTGGCTTGGGCACGCGCTTGACCTGTTGCTCCGGGTTCTGGGAGTGGGGGGTTTGCAGAGAGGGGTTGGGAGGGTGCAGTGGATTCGGTGGGGTTGGTGGGTTCAGAGCGTTTGGTGCATTGGGAAGGCTCTGTGGATTGGGAAGGCTCTGTGGATTGGGAAGGCTCTGTGGGTTGGGAAGGCTCTGTGGAGATGGACTTTCCAAGTAAGGGGCCGGTTGGGCTCGGGTGGGAATGACGGGTGCCCCAGCGGCCGTGGCAGCGGCCGGCGCCTGAGCATTGTCCAAGGACCCTGGCACAGGCATGCGTGGCCGCGAGGCTATTGGCGGCGGGTCTGCCGGCATAGGCCCGCTTGGATTTGCTGGCACGGGCCGGGCCGGCAACGGCGCCGGCGGCACTGCCTGCAGGACGTGGCCCGGCGGTCCCGCCAGAGGCCCCAGCGTCGGGGGCCCGGCGGTTTCGTTGGACGCAGCCTGGATAGTGGCGCCCAGGTACGCGGAGACCTCACCGCGGGAAGGCGCGGCATAGGTGGGCACGTTCCGCTTGGGCGGCGGGGGCAAGGAGTGCAATTTCTCCTTATCCATGATGGGGGCCGCGGGGCCGGAGGGCGGCGGCAGCGTGCTATTTTCGCCGGGCGCCAGGCCGCCTTTCTTGGCGGCGTCGTGGTTTTTGTACGTGTTGTAGCCGGCCTTGGAGAGCGCCTTTGTGCCGGAGCCGATGCCTTTGGCCGTGGCGATCCCGGCTGATTTGAACGTGTGTTTGTTTTCTGCCCAAAACGACATTGTGGCGATAAAATCGGGGGCGTCTGACGGCGGTGGGCGGAGGTTGGAGCCCCTGTGAGGTCTGGCGGCAGGCGAGATCTGGCGGCAGGGGTGGTCTTTTTTTGCTTTGCGGGACACCTGCAGGTAAATGGGATATTTGCCTTGTTGTGGGTGGATTTACAAAGCTTTGGACCGTGGTTTGGGTGGGAATGCCGGCCGGGTTGGGGGCTTTAGTGGCGGCTAAAGTAGTATAGCTGACTAGTCGCTTGCGAACGCGTGGGATACTGCGCCAGGCGCGTCACGTGACCGGCCGCACTGGGTGCGGCGGCGAGCTTGCTTCATACTTGCCTGAGCGTGGTCTTTGATGGCCAGTTGCGCTGTCCTGAAGTGTTGCATACCAAGCTTCAGAATGCAAAGGAGTTAGAGTGTTTTGTCGCGGTCAATTGTAATGCTATGACTGATGTAGAAACCCGGCGATAAAAGCTCTAGCTTGGCCAGCAACTGGAAGTAGGAACAGTCTTGCTTGAAGTCCAACAATAGACACTAGGATATATGTGTAGGCTTTGAGAGCAGATGGGAATCTGGCCCTCTAAACTTTCCGAGTAGGGTTAACCAGCAGGACTCAAATGTGGCCATGGCAGCCCCAGTGGCGCGTGTAAGATCGCATACATCCTAGTTGAGTACATCAGATTTTCCGGCTCGATCTGTGAGGCGGTTCGACACTTTTGTTCTCGTCAAGAAATCTGTCGTGTTCAGTTAGTACAGCATCGGGAACATACCGCAAGACGTGCCCAGGCAGAACGCTTCGCATGACAGACGCTTCGTGGTCAACCGTTTCCGTCCACCCGGCCCATGTGGGCATCCAAAACTGACGACCTATGACCTTCAAGCGTATCTCGTATTTTCAGCAGCAAGATGCTTTGCTCTCAGTGCATACTTGGCCACGAACGAAAATCGAGGCATTGCACGTCTGGACCAATCGCGCTCTGGAGCTTCACCACTGGTCACCATTATCTTCAATCGACAAGCAAAACCAACAAATAGCTAAGAATACTGCCCACGGCAAGCCCGACGCTCAAAAACACGGAGGTGAATCCGCCGGCGGCCTCCTTCTCCTCAGACGTGTCGCAATGGTCGCCGACCACCATGAAGCAGGACGTGACAAGCTGGCCATTCGAAAACCCAAACAAAAACTGAAGCAAAATGTACCACACATCGGAGGACAACACCGGAGGCTTGCCCAGGGGGTGTATGTTGCACGTGAGGAACAAGGGAATAAACACCAATCGGCCCACGGAGTACGTGATGAGGGTCCTCGGGTTCCTGATGAGCACCCTCGATTTCAGGCGTCCACAGAGAACACGGCCCATGAGGTCGCCGAGGTTCCAGACAAAGTAAACAAAGGGAATGTAGATGTTTTTCCTGAGAAGCACGAAATGCGACTCGCCGTGCACAGACTCCACGATCAGCGCAAACACCGGGAACAGGAGCGTCACGGCAAATGTGAGGAAGATCGTCAGCACAATAGCCTTCAATTTGCACCATAGGACGTGGAAGGGCACGTGGGTCGTTTGCACAGGGACGTCCTCTGGCTGCTCGGCCTCAAGGCCCTCTTCCTCAGACACCAAGTCCGTCAAGGCTCTATACATGGAGTCCGACTTGTGCCAGCCAATGAGAGCCAACAAAGCTATGGACGCCATCGAGACCAAGCTGGCGGTGATGTAGTACACGAACAAGCCAAAGTTCTTGTCGACATACGGGGCCTCGTCTGGCGCGGCCTTTCCATGGCCGTTGTCGCCCACCACCAAAATCGACACAATGAGGGCAACCGAAGGGAGAATGCCGGCAATGGCCTGCCCCACCATGACGGCGTTTGTGTAGATGTGGCCCATCACATTGACGGTGGCCATGGTGCCGTTCTGGGCCAAGCACGTGGCCATGGCGCTGACAAGCACCATGCCCATGAGCCCAACGAAAAACACATTGTCTTGCATCCGGATGAACATGCTTGCGACACACGAAAAGGCCATCACCACGAACACTGCGATGGTGAGGCCCAAGCCCATGTTTATACGATGCTTGTAATCGACACCCGTCTGCTTTTGCGATAAGTAGTAATTGTACGTGGTCGACGTCACGGTCGACACCGACATCATCGTCGAGGAGTATATTTTCATCAAGCCGGGCGAGTGGGCGAACCGCTCGCCGTAATACGCCGACGCACTGAGAAAACAGTTCCAGGGCCAGAGGAGCGCCACGCCTATGATGGTGAAAGTTACATACTGGAGCTGCGACAACGTGACGTTCCAGCGGGAAACACGCCAGATGACCGGGTCACGTGCGGTGCCGGGGGTCTCGGCGCAGGGCATTTCGTGGAATTCGATGGACAGTGTCACTTTTGCTGATGGTCTGAGAAGATTACGGTATCAATGGACCTATCGCACTGGGGCCAGAGATAAGCGCAGGCCCGGGGCCGCGAGGTATGCGACATTTTTCTGGGGCCAGGGCCGGAAAGTCCAGAGACCCAAGAGTCTCTCCAGAAGACGGGCTAAATGCGGGTAGTTTGTGTTTTTGTTGCTTATATTTGCATGGACGAGGCTTGCGATTTCTGGCCGCTTTGTCTTTTGATAATTGAGTCTCTGGTCTCTTCGGCGTGAGGTGACTGTTCTGGTTCTGGCAATGGTCTCTGCATGGCAAGTATAATAGTGCGAGGCCTGGATGTCTCGCCCTGTGTTGTCACTTAGATACCGATGGGATCGCTGCGCTTAGATTCGTCGACAGGCGCGATGGAGATGGTTTTTTTTTCTTTTTTCTTTGCCAGCATGAAATTTGTCGTTCGATTTTATTATACTCTGCGGCTTAGGTGTGTCGTAGAATCGGAGGTCTGAAGCTCCGGTTGCGACTGCTCGTTGGGGCGGCTCAATCTCGGGGAACAGCTGAACTTGTGGTTTTCGTTGATTTCAGTAGCTTTGAAGTTACCAGGTTCTTTTTAGGCATAAAAATGGGACAAAATCGAAGTGGGCGTGTTTTGGAGCCAGTTCCCCAACGTCCAGTGCATTGGAAAGACCACGAGAATGGGTGCAAATTGTCGATACCGCGCAAGCCTCATCGGAAACACATATCCACAAGACGAAGCTTTTTTGTTCCTTACAACTGATTAAAGATCACTGAAAAGAGTGAGAAGCACTGCGATGCCATACATGGCTTGCCCGATTCCATGCCCACTCTGGATCCTGCCCTTTTTATCTCTTTGACAGGAGCTGTCTTGTTCACAAGAGTCCATTCGCACATACTGATTGTTCACATGATTACTCTGTTTTAAGATGGCCTTCTAAATTTTCTTTCAGATAGCGCGGTGATTTGAATCAGGGACGGGCCTCGGTCTTTACAGTTTTGGGAAGGCTACTGAGACTTTACCTTAGTCCTGATCACTGTCAGAACCCACGGGCTTTGAGCGATACAAGATGGCTGCGGCTATTCGCAGTCGGCCAAGAGTGAGGAAAGTTGTGAAGCAAGGATTCCCAGCAAATTCATCCATGTGCTTCAGATTGAATGGAAGAACATAGAAGGCTGAATGGGGAGAGGCCTCGAAAATCACATACGCACGTCTGACGAAAAGAGGATATGGTAGGTTCTTTTCGAAGGCTTCGGTGAAATTAGCGAATCCTCATGACGAATGGGGCCTGGGTCTAGACTACGTGACAAGAAGTTGTCGAGAAACAGAACATAGGGGGAAAAGGGTTTACTTCAGATGCCAGGTAACCACCCAATAGTGGCGCTGGCGAAACGACCCCTATCTACATTCTGACGGGTCCAAACACCTAGCGAGGATCAGGCATGGTTGGCTCTGAAACCAACCACGTGTACTCCACTAAAGTAATACATATCTTCAAGGAAACTGATGAAGACACGGGATGGCCTATTTTGGTCCTGGTGTGGTAAGCGGTGTGCGTGCATGACACGAGAATGATGCATACCCGCTTGCCCACAAAAGCACAGCCAACGTGCTCTTTGTGGAAACTTGTCGTGAGACGAGTTGAAGAGAATGTTTCCAGGCAAACACGTTGGTGTTGGAGAGAATGTTCCCAGGCTAACACGTTGGTGGCCCCGTGCTCTTTGACTCAGCGGATGCAACAATGCAGCATGCGTGTTGATGAATCGCCAGACCAAGCCGCGTCCTTGACTAGACGAGAAAAGGACAGTGGGGTGATGCAATGGAATTGGCCAGGAACAATCCATGATGACGCCAAAGCAGCACCGGCAATGCTTCGAAGACATGGGCGTGGGAGCGAATATCGAGCAAGCAGGGTATCACGGTGTTCCCGTGAGCCTCAGGCCAGCCGGCTGATATATATACAAGAGTGTAGCACGAGAATCAGGGCCCACGCGGGGAGTCTCAAGGGGAGTCTCAAGAGGAGTCTCAAAGGAAGCTTCAAAGAGAGTCCCAGGGAGAGTCCCAAGGGACGTTTTGGTGAAGAGGACTGGGCTTTTCGCGGGCCGTGGCGGCGTCCCCGGGCGCAGCGACCTTGTTCTGCGCCGCCATCAAGCGGTGTATGTCGTTATCGAGCTTGACAAGCAGCTTGAGCAAGAGGTAGTTTGTTTCTTGCAAGGGGAGCCGTAGCGGCGAGCGCTCGCCGAGCCAGAAGCCGGTGTCATCGGACGGGCCGATCCCCAAGTGCGCCATGTGCTCCTCCCAGTCGGGCAAGTCGTACTCCTTTTCGGGCTCGGACAACTTGTCAGCCACGACCAGGCGGAGGAGCGTGAGCAGACGCGCGATGTCGAGCGTGAGGGCCATTTGCTCGTCGAGGCACGGATCGGCGGCGCCACCCTTGGGCGCTCCACAAGCGTCGCCCGGGAGGGCTGGGTCCAGGGGCACGGGCAGGAGATCCAGCTCCATCCGCGGCGGCTTCGCACGGTCCGCGGGAAGACGCGGCGGGCGGCGGAGGAGGCGGCGATAGGCGGCGGCGTCAAAGAGGCGCGCGCCCACGGAGTCGAGCGTGTCGGACAAAGCGAAGAGCGAGTCGCCCACGTTGGAGATGAGGATAGTCATCAAGGGCACGGCCGCGATGGCCCAGACCACGAAGAACGCGCGGCCGAACGGCGTCTGCGGGTGGAAGTCGCCGTAGCCGATGGTGAGGAGGCAGAGGAAGCAGAAGTACATGGCGTTAAAGTAGCTCCAGTGCTCGCAGGCGCGGAACACGGCCGCGCCCAGGAGCCAGAACAGCACGAAGACCGCGAGCGTGGCGGCCAGGCCGTGGCGTTTCTGAGAGGCGGCCACGCGCGAGCGCATGGCGCGCATGGAGGCAAAGGCGGCGGGCGCGTCGGGTGGGGGCAGGCCCGCGGCGTGGGCCGCCAGCATGGCGCGGCGGCGGCGCTCGATGCGGTGCCAGAACACACTCGGGGCGGCCGCGGAGAGCACGACCTGGCGGAGCATGGCCACAATGAGCCCCATGATCAACACGCCAACCAAGGAGAAGAACAACGCGTACACCTTGGCGCCCGCGGTCTCGGGCACGATGTCGCCCAAGCCGATGGTGAGGATGGACACGGTGCAGTAGTAGAGCGACGCGCCGTAGGACAAGCCGGCGATGAGCCGGGCCATAACCACGGTGCCCACGGCCTGCCACACGCAGAACGAGATGGTGTGCCACATCAAGCGGCGCTGGCGGGCGTCCAAGTTGAAGCGCGCACGGTACTTGTGCATCACGCAGCCCGCCATGTTTAGCACGAGCACCGCCACACACGCCACGTACATGGCCACGGTAAACACCGCGAGCCAGAAGCCCTCGGAGCGCGCGAGCGCGAGCGCGTCGATGCGGCGGTTGGCCAAGGCCACGGCCGCCGCCAAGCACGCGACCGCGGCCGCCAAGCACGCCACCAGCACGCTCTGCGCGGCCATGTAGCGCGCCTGGCCCGCGAAGTTCCACAAGAGCGCCGCGTTGGCCACCACGCCCAACACGAACGCCGCCACGTTCAACGCGTGCTGTGCCGCGGCGTCCGCCACGGGCTGCTGCGTGGCCGCGTCTGTCTGCCAGTGCTCGAGGAGCGCCACGAACGACACCAAGTTTCCCACCGGCGCCATGCACGCGGCCACCACCGGGAGGTACGCGGACACAAAGAGCCACGCGGGGAAGTGCGCGTCGCCGGGCCGCACGTGGAGGTTGGCCACGGTGGCGACGGGCACGGCGAGCGAGTGCTGGAGCACGAAGCGCGCGCGGCGCCGCTCGGCCTCAGGCACCTGTGTGGCGCCGTGCTCGAGCCGGTGGAAGTACGCGGGGGGGAAGAGCGGCTGGAGCGTGTCTTTGTACCTGAGCAAGGCGTCGGTGTTGAGGACGGGCGAGCGGCTATTCTGCGGCGGGCCGAGCCAGTGTTTGGCGGCCGAGAGCCGGCGCCGGACGCCCATGGCGAGGGGCCGGGCGGCTGCGGGGGCTGGTGTTTTGGTGGGAAAACTTGTGGTGTGGTTTGTTGAAGGGGGTATATTGTTGATTGTTGATTGTTGATTGTTGATTGTTGATTGTTGATTGTTGATTGTTGATTGTTGATTGTTGATTGTTGATTGTTGATTGTTGATTGTTGATTGTTGATTGTTGTTTTTTCTTGATTGTTGTTGCTTGTGTTTTCTTGATGTTGTTGTTTGTTCTTTGTTGTTGTTTGTTGCTAGTACCGGTGATGTTGGTGGTGATGTGAGTGTTGTTGCAGTGCTCGGCGGGTCCGACTCATGGCTCGCGCCTTAAGCCATGGGTGCAACCCCGCGCCCACGGCCAGATATCCCGTTTTCGGGGGTGGGCCATAATTACTATGAGTAAATCAGAGTGTTCAAATCAGGCAAGCGCTTAAATCTTTCAGCATGGAATAATAAAATAGGACGATGATTCCATTTGGTTGGTTTCAAGGACCATCGTAATGATTATTAGGGACGTTCGGGGGCGTTAGTATTCAGTTGTAAGAGGTGAAAGTCTTGAATGTTCTGAAGACCAACTACTGCGAAAGCATTCGTCAAGGACGTTCTTACAACATGATCTTCTTCATGGATTTGCCTGGTTTTCTGAAATGCTGGAACAGATTTGGCGTGCCCGGCTCCTGAAAATATCCCCACCGCCAATTTTCAAAGGTGAAGCGAATACTAGGACACTATTAGAACGCGCCTTTGGTTCTATTCTTGTTTTGTATTTTAGTAACTAATTACTACGGACCCAGCTTAGAGTGGTCACTGAATCCTTGAGGAAACGCTTTTTTTTCTACCTCGACCTCTGCCTCTATTTATACATTCCTCGAGTAACAAACACGCGGCTTTCTCACCCTCGCCTTTGTTGCAGCCATATATTGGTCATGTGACTCATTTATGCGCTAACAGACACTTATCCTAGGAGTCGACGCACTATCCAAGTCGACGCGCGGCCGCCAGGGCCAGCAGGCCGATGGCTTATCAATATATAAGCCGGACATCAACACATAGGGTCAAAAGATACAAAATAATAATAAGACATTTATTTTCACCTCTATGTTATCACTTCTCATATTGGAATCAATAGTTTCAAGATATTTTCATATCAGTTCTAATTTCCGTTCTATCTTTTCGGATATACGATTCATAATCAGTTGGTGGGGTATATAAAACATTTTTCACCGTGCACTACTTAGTCATAATTATTTCCAAATACGTAGACATCTCCAAGTGTTAACGTGGAAGTATGCGTAGTCAAAACTATTTATGTATCTAATTGTGAGATTATTTCATAATTAGTTAATAGACATTCTACCTAATTAAAATGGTTTTGATTTTCATGTCTCCCTTCTTGATTTGGTGATGCTGAATCACGTACACCTCATGGTGTTGGAACATCTCATCAAAGCATTTATTTTTCCTTATATTTAAGATTACAAATACAAATTATTTGGAATTATTCGGATATATACGGACACTTCTGGGAATATGTCCCATGTTTCGCTTTCAGAAAACACAGAGAACGATTCTTGCAGTAATCTGCGCAAGTAGGAAGCGGTGCTTATCAGATTTCAACGGATGCCTCATGAAACAACCATTTTATGAAAACCTTCTAAGTTAAAAATAACAATATACAAAGCAATTGACATGAAAGTCAGTTTTGGAAGCACCGCTGAATGGCTTAGGTAATTTCTGTCAGCTTTGGTCAAGTGTGTGTAGTGCAAATGATCCTACGACGGGCATTGATCCACAGGAAGGGTTCACTTTCATGCCAAGTCGTACTAATATCCGCAGCAGGTCTCCAAGCTTAACAGCCTCTACTTGATAGACTATATAGAAATGGGAGGTCGCCAAAATAGATCCGTAACTTCGGGATAAGAATTGGCTATATATAAATACTTCTATTATTTATTTTTGAGTACTATCATTTTGTTAGTAATAAGATTCAATAACAGATTCTTTCTGCCTGTGTTTGATTAAGTTTTCCTTCAGACTTTATTTGTGACCCCGCACAGCTAGGTTATAAATCCCCTCCTTTGGGGGTATTTATTTGAGAGTCTAGCTCATCATATAAAACATAATTATATATGCTTTCATATATGGATAGATACAATATATTTTGTGTCAATTATTTGTTTAGCGTCACACCTCTAGATGCACAGAGGTCTTAGCCATCATTTAGCCAGAAGTAGTATAATGTATAAGTACACTCTTTATCTTGGTTTAAAGTAAGGTTGGGTTGAAACACCTACCTTTTGATATTATTAGTTTATTTGCCTAATTTCAATAAGTTTGGCATGCCCTGACTCCTGCAAGTGCCTTACCGCCAATTATCCGAGGTGAAGCGAATACTACAAGAGATTTATCCTAGGAATCGACGCAAAAGAAAAATCCGATAGAGAGGCCCAGAGTTCCGTCCAGGCCGTGACCAGCGTAGGGGGCATAGTTCGCCACTTGGCACGCAGCTGGGTTTTCTGTATATTATTTGTATAGTTCTGCTCCTTTAGGATGAATTTATCGATAAAAAATAAACAGACTATGAGATATAGATGGGACTGTTGGAGATTGGTGGGGTATGACAGGGTAGCATGTATGTGACTAAGACATGGTCTGAAGAATACATAGATATCTAGTGATGGAAGGTAGGAGGTAGTAACAACTGAGGCAAAAACTCCAGCTGCACTTTGATTATATGCTGGTAGACGATCTATAATACCTGATATTCCCACTGGACCTAATATTCCATGAACATCCGATCGTTTTAATTCATTCAGTGAAAAGAATATAAATAAACTTGAAAGCAATAATATATATCAATATAAATGCCTAGTGATATGGAAGTTACAAAACACTGACTATTTTGTATCAACCGAGGAGAAAACCACAACTGCACTCCAAATACAAAATATGCTGGTACACGATCTCACGTACCATATTCCTACTGGACCTGATGATTGTGCATATCAGAACGCCCTGATTTATTCTGTGACAGAATACAAATTAACACAATAGCAATTATATCATATTAGCATAGAAGGCTAATGACGGAAGCTACGAAACGCTTCTATTCTGTATCTTCGAGAGAAAACCACTTTAAATTAGATCCATGCTGGTAGAAATTCTCAATCACCTGATATTCCACTGGACTTGATACCCCATGTATTAATATCAGAGTGTCTAATGTATTCGGGGGGTGAAGAAATACCGTTAAACTAAATAGCAAACTCAATACAAATATTCTTAATATACCAATGATCACGGTGGGATGGAGGCCGTGAAACGACCCCGTGTTTTGCAGACGAATGGTTCACACGCTTTAGAGTCAGTTTTCGGGTGCCTGAAGGAAAACTGCACCAAGACAGGAAAGCACTCCCTTGGTGCCCCTGCAAAGGCGCAGACGCCGCCTTTTTATGTAACTTTAACAGCCAAAAGACACCTACAACCGCATGAATTTATTTCTGCATTTCTTTCGTGACATCAAAAGGAATCAATCACTGTTCTGTCAATAATTTTCATGCTGGCTACTAACGAGATGTTTTTCGACTGACACGGTTGATGTAGCGATGATTCGCACCGAAGTGTATTTGTTGATACCGATGTTAGATTTGTTGATATTCCTGTACCCCCGTGATAATTTGTGATGATATTTCTGATAAAATTTTCTGAAACACACCCATTTTGCCCCACTGATGACCAATCGAGTAGATACATCCTATATCCCCACTATTGATGATCGTTTTATCACCATTATCTAGGTTCATACATACATATACTGCCACTATGTTAGTTAACGGGGGCTTTCAATGAGTATCAATGATTGGACAGAGGCTGTGAAACAAGCGCTATTTTTGTTAACATTTACTGCCAGACTCATTTCTCCATCTTGCAATATCATATTTCACACTGACTGCTATCCGAACACCAACTATGCAATTCTCATAACTGATACCGCTAATAAGTGTCTATGAAGATTCAGTTAATACTGCTAATGTTAGTTTTTTAATTGCTCTTGCTTCTTTTGATTGCTTCTCTCAATGATATTCTTTTGGTATTGGGGAAGCTGACAATGTTCCACAGTAAATCATGCACTTCATCTACCCCTCTCATTTAACTCAACATATAATTTTGTGCACTTGACGGGAAACAGCACATCATAAAGAAACATGCTGAGCTGATGACCCAAGAAAAAAAACCTAGACTACCATGAGGTGTATTGCGCTGGACGGAAGTGTATTCTTAGAGCGTCATTCTCAACGCAAATACAAGAATACAACATGCTTGATAAATGGATTTGTGCTTAATACAACAAAACTTTTTCGAAACTTTGGCTTATATACATGTTCTAAGTATCTTATCTTCTCGAATCTTTCGATTTTGGTTCTGACTAATGAAATCGTCCGTGACATGCTCTCGCAGTAGTTAGTCTTCAGAATTTTTAAAAGTTTTACCTCTTACAACCGATTACTCTACCCCTGGCCGTCTCTATTAATCATTACTATGGTCTCAAAAAACAACAAAATGAAATCATCATCCTTTTTATAATTCCATGCTGAAAAATCCAAGCGCTTGCCTGCTTTGAACACTTGCATTTACTCAAAGTAATCATGGCCCACCCCCTGGAGAGATAAGCCAAGGAACGCAAAGCGTTCAGAAGCCATCAGGCTGAATCCCTAACTTTTAGGCTCTGATATAAATTTTTATGGTCACTTCTACCAACTCTGTATCTAAAATTCACTCTTGCAATTTCTTTTCGCCTTTGACGCTTGGAAAGTTGAAAATTTCAAAGGGACGTATTATTCCGATGATCTCTTGATTTTCATCAGCAACACATTTCGCTTTAATTGCTTCTTGAGACCATTGTATTGGTGAACATATGTCTTACCCGGCTGAAGTATCACTTAAAATGATAAGCATGTAACTTAATATCGATTTACCAAAACTAAAACTGCTATTTGATCAAAGACTACGACACACGCAATCCTTTAATCAAGACTAATTCAACAAAATTATACTATATTTCATTAAGCTACGTACCACTTCGATGTTATTTCCCCGGCTATGTTGTTCTGAAAGTTCCACCAGCGATGCAGTGTGCAATTGCAAACAACAACATATAAGGAAATGAAATAAATTAGATACTACAGGCCGATTCTTGGGATTCCTTATATACAGTTAGCAATGTATGAAATCAAGAAAGCGTTTGAAGACGGCAGATTTTCAAAATCTGTGTGGGAATCTGGACACTACTTACCAAGTCTCCTGATACAGCTATATTCTGGGGGTTACCAATTAATGCAGTAAGTGGGATACACAAACTGTTTTCCAACCTTTTGTTGTCTATAGCTCAAACCATCGAATTGCTGAAAAGTAGTATGGCTTACCCCTTGAAATAAATTTCTAGTATACTAGTCTGTTTTTGATTGTGCACAAAAATATTGTCGAGTCATGATAAGTCTAACTCAATACAAAGTTCAAGGTTAAGAAGTTTACCGAAGGCACTCAAAAGCAACTGTCTTTATTATTATAAGCAGGATTCGGATCAAACAATGGAACAAGTTTTGTCAATTCGAGAGGGACTGATAAAAAACGCTCACCTCGTATCAACCCCCAATGAAGTTTCTGCTAACTTTGTTGGTTTCAAACCATAAAGCTCGGTAGTTTGGTCTTTGAAATCTCGGAGGCTGAACATATTCTACCTGGAACTATTTTATATAACTATTTTATTATTTTTTTAGTACAGCTTGCCATTGGTTAAATAAAGACAGTCGTTTGATTCCAGATTAGTCCAGTTAGGACTAGTCGATTGGATCAATCATGTCATTATCGTACTTATCTCGAGCGCCATATAGATCCATCTTATTTCAGCACGCACAGCCAATGTTGGCAAAAACAAAGTATCACTTGGTCTGGATATCTACAGAAAATTACACACAGTATTTGATTGGTGTGCCGCAGGTGAGTTAGAGAGTAAACGATGAAGCTGAACGTAATGAATTTGGACGCTGACGATGAACTTCGAATGGTTCACGTATATCCTTTTTTACTGGCACTGAATCTTGGTCTGCTAATTTGCACTCATCTTCAGACATTTTTGGAGTTTGAGTGAATTGAGGGTTAAATACAAAGAACTCAATGACCCGCGGACTCGCACGCAAGAAAGAAATGGCTGTTAGTATCTAGTAAAGCGTAATTTCACGAAATATCTGGTAATCATGAATGTGTGTATGAGAAAAAGAGTACGAAAAGCAGATCGTCAAGAAAGCGCAAAAACTAGTTTGTAAGTAATACGGGTTCTATTATGAAAAACAAGTGATAAGTCGATAAGAAGAGAAGTGAAGAACATCAATTTTCAAGCAAAATTGAAAGAAATGAAAATTTCCTCAGAGTATTGCAAATTTATAGTTTATGCACCCATCCTGCGCTGCCCGAGACCTCGGTCTGTGTAGTGATGTAGTCTTCGCTGTGCTAAAAAAGGGAACAAGCACAATATGCAACAAAGATGGAAAAAAAAAGTATAACAAGAAACATCCGAATAATCACCTATGTTTTTTTTTTCTATTTGAGACCAGAGGGCCTAGTTTATTTTATGTAAAGAACCTCAGTATAGAACATAGCCAAATTAGGTGCAGATAATTTTGTTCCCGATGCTCAATCCTGTGACGATATGTCATTTAGTGACTTTAAGTGCTGGTTTTCTTTGCTGGGGTCTTTTTTAATGGGGCTTGTGGATATGGTCACACAATATTTCCTCGTCGATAGATGAAGCCACCAAGTTGTTGCTGCGATACTGCTGATATATGTTGCCATTTGACTAATCACCATGGAAAGTCGCCCAATACAAGACCAAGGCTGACTTTCGTATAAGGCGAAGAAAAAAAATGCGTTTGGAACGCCTATTTTTATTGTCCTTTGAGTTGTAAATCTCGGTCTCGTATATACTGGAGTTCCGAGTATATGGAGTCCTAATATCCCCAGACATTCTACCTCGGGTCCATACGCTGCATTAAAGGCTTTAACCAGGAATCCTCCGTTCTCACCTTGCTTTTCAAAGCCAAGGGTTTCTTCATCTTTTAGGCAAATCTTCGTCTTTCGCCCTTTATCTCTCCTCTCTCACCTCCCCTCTCATCTCAAATTCTCTGCCTCTGGGTTCTCCAATTATTTTTGGACACCAGGTTTACTGCCCGTCACTTACCGTCTTACATTTATGCTATTTACACGCCCCCTCGCTCCTCAAAGAACATTGGGCACCTCGTTACGTGGGTCCAACACATACTTCCGCAAGAGGTTCTTCTGCACAGGCTTCTTGAGCTCGTTCACGTCGCCATACTTGCTCCCAGTGACCTTTTCCAAAATCAGGGTGCGCTGCTCCGTGTGCTCAGGCGCCATGAGCTTGTCCAAAATAACGGAGATGTTGGCCGAGCGGTTTTCCAACACGGACAAGTCACGCTGGGCCTCGTTCAACTCGAGCTCCACCACAGGCTCCGTGGTGGGCCACGACATGATTCCGTACTTCTCCTTGATCTCGTTGACCTGGGCAAGAATGGCGCTTTTGTCTGCGGCCGGATCGCCGTGGAAGGCCTTGGTCACGCGGTCCAAGGTCTTCAAGTCCTCGACCTTTTTGATCGTGGCCTCGAACTGCTCCCTGCGGCCCAAGAACTCGGCGATTTTCTGCGTGTTCTCCGCCGCCACCTTCTCGCGGGCTAGTTTCTCGTATAGCTCGAACTGCGAACCCTTGTTGACCTTGATTTCCGCAATGGCAAAGTACTTGCGGGCGGAAATCTTGGGGATTTCCTCGATCCGCACAAGATCGCCTTCTTTGCAGAGCTCGCCCTCGTCGTGCACGAGATAATCCTTTCTTTTCAAGATGTCTTTATGCACCCTCTTGTCGTAGGCCTTTGACTGCACACGGACCTTGACGGTCTTGGTCATTTTGCCCTGGGACACCACCAAGCCAATGAAGTTCTGTCTCGGCATGCTGGATTGTAAGATGTGATTCCGGAAGCGGGGAAGAAAATGTGCCGTGGGAGAAGGCTGGGGTCGGCTCGCGGAGGTGGATTCTTTCGCTGTGATAGATGCGAAAAATTTGGGGCGTGTGTGCAAACCACGGTGCGCCAGACGGGCCACTGCCGGAGCTGGGAAATGGAGTAGAAGGAAGCGGAATGTGCGGGCTGACCCAAGAGCATTTTTCGAATTCTGCTTCCGAAGGATCTGCTCTTTTTGGGGCGGTTTGACATTTGGGCTTGTTTCTGGGAGGCCCGCGGCTTTTCTTTGGAGGCACCAGCATGCGTGGGAAGATATTAGAAGCACAGTGCTTCCCCGTGCAGGGCCCCGGGCAAAAGATTCTTCTCTTTTGGATTCTTGTTCTCTTTTTTTTTTTCGGCCAAAAACTAGGACTCGTTCCAGACGCTGCTTGTTTACATCAACTGGACACCGGAGCATAAGAGGCTCCTAGCCCCGTACCTCTATAATGATTCTATAATGCGACAGTGTCCTCATGGCAGCCCCTGTCTCGCAGCCATTAGTGCCATTCAACACGGGTCGCGAGAACAGTGGCTGCTCTCTCCAATCACCAGAGCCACACGCCAGTCGTTTGCCCCCATCTCTTGAGTAATGCTGATCTCTAAACGGCCGCAGCGTCCAAGGACCATGTCTGATGAAGTCGTGATCTCCAAAACCATCTCTCATGCAGTGCACCTCTGATTCTCAATCCCTGAGGCCTTTAGCAGCCAAAACAGGCCTACTGGCGCGCCTCCACGAGACACTTGGCAAACCTCTCTAGAAGCTCGCGGTTCTCCTCCTGGGTTCCCACGGAGATCCTCAAGCCTCCGGTACAGTTGAGCTCCTTGCCCCGGAAGCGTACCACCACCGCGTTGTCCACCGCGAGTTTCGTGTACGCCGCGTGCGCCACGGCGTTGGAAGGCTGGCCGTCCTTGTCAAGAATCTCCACCAAGAGGAAGTTTGCGTCGAGGCCCCCGAGATTGCGCCCCACGCCCTCGAGCTCCTGCAAGCGCAGCAACAACAGCGCGCGCTCGCGCAAAATCAGCGCCACGTACCGTTCCATCACCTGCAACCCCGTGTCGGGGCACGTGGACCGCATGGCCACGGCCGACGTCAAGGACGAGATGTTGTACGGGTACTTCATGGCGTTCAAGTAGTGGGCGAGCTCTCTGCAGGCGTACGTGATGCCCAAGCGGATGCCCGCGAGCCCGAACGACTTCGACAACGTCTGCATGACCACGAGGTTGGGGTGCTGGTTGACGAGAGTGGACACCGAAGGCGACGAGCCGTCCTCCTCCGAGGCAAAGTCAATGTACGCCTCGTCCACCACAACAAGCCCGTTCCAGACGCCGCGCAACTTGGCGACGAGCGCGAGAATCGCCGCCACCTGCAACAACTGGCCCGTGGGGTTGCCGGGCGACGTGAGGTACATCAATTTGATGGCCGGGTCCTGCGTGACAGCATGCAACACTGCGTCGGAATCAAGCTGGAAGCCCGGGGCGGTCAACGGCACGCGCACCAAGGCCACGTCGTTGACGGCCGCGCAGATGGAGTACATGCCATATGTCGGCGGGCACACCAAGAGCTTGTCTTTGCCCGGCACGCACACACAGCGTAAAAGCAAGTCAATGCTCTCGTCGGAGCCGACGCCAAGACACAAGTTTTCCGGCACAAGCCCGTGGGTCTGCGGGTCCGCCAAGTGGCGGCTGTTTTGCGCGCTGCGGAATGCCACAATCTGCTGCTTCAATGCCATTTGGTGGGGGTCCGGGTACCGGTTGAGTTCCAAGGCGGCCTCGTACGAGGACACGGTTTCAAGTGCCGGGCCATGGGTGTTTTCGTTGGCGTCCAAGAGAATGCCCTCTTTGAAGTCGTCACGTGCACAGCGGTACGGCTCGAGCTTGGCAATGTTGGGCCTGACGAGGGACTGCAAATCGAAAGTCATGGGGTGTCTGAGGGTCTGGGTTTTGTGTGTGTTTTTGCTTCTGTTTCTATTTTTGTTTTGTTCGCAGCTTTCTTCCTGCTTGGAATGCTGGGAAACGTTTTTGGTGAGGAGAGAAAGTCTATGGACAAAAATGCAGCTAGCAGCTGTAGAAAGAGAGGGGTTGGAAGAAGGAAAGGTAATGAAAGCTAGCCGCCTATGTTCGCACAATGACTCAACCGAACCGTGGATAAGGGTGCGGGTTGGCGGCCACGTGACTTGCAGCGATAAAGCTGTTTAATGTAAAAAATAAATATGTTGGCGCTAGCATTTGGGATTCGTCTCATAGAAGATAGATATTGTGGCTGTTGGGGATTTGAAGAGGAAGCTTGATAAACTTTTACAAATATAGTGTTGGAAAGACGAATGCATGCAGTCATTGGGGCAATTGATGAAATTTGAATTCAGTATTACAGCAGGGGAGAATCATAAACTTGAGATAAGACGTGTAAGGGACCCGAACAATGGGATTTGTGAAACAATCAACATTACAAGCCCTTATGCCGGGTAGGATGATCAAAGCCACCTAGAGCTATAGCCACAGCTCGTAAATAAAATTAATATGTATAAAGTTACCATGAACTTAATTTGTATGACGATGGCGCGCGCCCAACAGAGCATAGGTCGGAGAATATATAAATACAACACTAGTACATAGTAAGCCCGTCATAAACACGGTGAAAAAATAGATAGACGCGTCATCTTCTAATGAACATTTAAAGCTGAAAGCTTTTTCATAGGAGAAAATATAAACTAATCTGGATATTACTTTTAAGCTCCCCCTTGGAGCTGGGAATGGATTATCCGGCCATTTGATCGAAGCTCCTCTTCACACTTGGATCTACATTATAACAGATTTATGCGTTGATGTATGAAAGCCCCAACCCAAAACATTTCAAAATCAGAAATTTATATGTTCTATTGGGTGAATACAAAGTTTAAGTGCACATGACCAATAAAGATAATATTGAATATCGAGGTAGTGCCATATCAAACATGTATAAAGCTGGCCGAAAGATAATGAGAGTACATGATGTTTTGAAGCTGGCGGTAGTTTCGGAATTCTCAAAAATTGGCCCATAATTTTTACTCCCATGAAATTCATGCTTTGAATATAGCTCTTTTGCTCTCTAGGCCTCGTGTTCCCCGGCTTGGTTTAAACTGCTTCCTGCTGTGAATTTTCATTAAGTTTCCTTGATTTTTATTATTTAATGTTTTGTCAGCACGGATTTCATCTTATTAGGTTCCAATGGGTTTCTGTTGGCTTATTATAGGGCTCTCTCTTCGGTCGCTCCAAAACCGTCACCTCCTTCAACTTACAGATTAAATTTACATTCTCGTATCGTACATAAAAATGTGGTTGTTTTTATCTTGTATCACTTTCTTTCAGTACCTTCTTTTCCTAAGTCTAACCCTGAGTTTCCTTACTTACTCAGCATCAGTATACCATGCATATTACCGGCACTTGAATTTATTGCTGATCATAAACCACTCATTCACTTCTTGTGCTCCCATTCCTTCTAGTGCTCCCATTCCTTCTATCAATCTCAACGTTTCTTCCAAACTCCTCTCAACAGATGTGACGGCTGGGTGTCTAGCATTTAGCAGCAGGTTGTTCTTTCTCAAAAAACGCCTTCTGAAATACACAGACTGAATTTCATTTCACCGTTTTGAGGTTTTCCTTCTTTCACAATCGCGTTTCCTTACCAAAGACCAATCAAGTACAGTAATCAAATTCTCTGCTTTCTGACTTTATATAATAGCTCTAAACAGGGCCAAGACTTACATAAAGACCTTGGCTAGCTGGCACATGACGAAATTCTGCCCCTTAAGCCTTCTTTGTACCACTCCTCTTACGCTGATTTAACCCCAGTTGCCTCTTCTGTGTTCGGGCAGCAGCTAATACTGGCCCTGGCTCTCCCAATACAGGAATAAATACCTCGCCTTGCTGACCTGCAGACTTGAGGATGCTTTTTGGTCTTTTTTCTCTGGCTGTAGTTTTGCGTTCTTTCTGGATTGAGGATGCTTTAGGCTTGGTGACTTTGGACTCTTTTGCTGACCGAAAGCCAAATCTAAACTTATTCCGCCATCTATGGGTGTCGGCACTTCTAAATTGAGACAGCGCATAAGGTTCTCCAGGCTGGCTCCAGGAGCCAGTCTGGTCAAACTTGCTTGTGTTTGGAGGCTTTGCGAAAAAATCACCGAGACTCTGAACAGTAGGATTTTCTTGCCAGGACTTTTCCGCCTCGCGAGGCAGAAATGCAGCATCCAAAGAAGCTGCGTTTGAATGAGTTTGAGCTTCTGTCCCGGTGAATAGCGTGGTGAGGCGATGCATTGGTGACAGACCAAACTTGCTCGATCTAAAGGTTTGCGGGAATTTGGCCCACAGAGGGAAAAGCGTAAAAGTGGACGTTCGACCGTGAGCTGAGTCAGTGGGATTCTTCAATGCCTCCCGTTTTGCTGTGCCGCCTTTCTGCGTTGGAGCTTTACTGGTTGAGTCCACCAGCCTTGTTTGGTGCGTGAGACCGGAAACGACAAAAGGGGAAAATTGCAATTCGGCTTCTCGGTCGTATGGTTTGTCATCACCAATAACTGTGGAGTGCTCTTGCAGGTATTTCTGGTCAGGAACTGATTTGACACATTCTTCTTTGTTTACCTTTTTTGAAGCCTTTTTAGGATGCACCGGCTCGGTCTTATGGTCATACAGAGGAACGTGGCTGTCATTTGTGTGATCTTTGTTTGTCAGCTGTGTCCTTGGAGCATTGATCTTGGCATTGATTGTGGCTACTGGGAGCTTACCTCTTGGTAATTTGACTGATGCAGGTGAGTTGTCAATGGTTACAAGGGTGTGCAGATTTGAATGCTTCTTTTCGTTTTTCCTCGCTTGCGCCTTCTCTGCGTCTGTATTGGCCACAGCTTCCTTCTGATTTTCTGAGTTTCGCTTCTCCACATGGCCTTTGCTTGTGTTCTGCGCAGCGTTTGTACTCTTCGCTCTCTCTTTGATCTTATTGGAAGTAGAGTCCACTTTTGTGATTGCAAGGACCTTCTCTTTCTTGTTTTTGTGCTTCTCAGTGGGAGTCTGCTGCTGCTGTTGGCTGTGGGTTTTGAAGACCTCAATGTTTTCTTTCTTCAAAACTGGTGGTGAAGGCAGCTGGTCAGGCATTGGGCCAGAATTATGAAGAGTTGGCTCCTTATGATTCTCGCTTTCTGTATTTGGTGCCGGCTTTGTCAGGTATGCTTTGGATCCAACTGTGCCTTCGTCCAAGATTGTGGAGCTTTTTGGGGGGCTCTTTTTAGAAAGCGCTTCTTCAGATTGTATGAGCTCACGAACGGGGCTTGCATTCTTAGTGGGGGTGGCGTTCTGAGCTTTTTGTGCTGTGGGCTCAAGGGCAAGCTCTTTCAAGTCGGCAGACAACGAGGGATCGGAGTTACTGAGAGAAAACAGGCTTTGAAGAGCCGGCTTAGGCGCCTGTGTGTTTGAATCCAAGGAAGAACCAAAACTGAGCCAGGTATGCTCTTGTTTTTCTTCGGCTTTGTCCAGCAGCTCCTTTTTCGTTTTTCTGCTGGCTGGGTTTCCCCGTCCCGGGAACACAAAACCTCTTTTTGCTGGGACAGAAGACGCCTCTTCTTTTGTGGATTGTAAGGGACTATTAGCTGCCGACCGTTCCAGATCTGCACAAAGCTCTCGTGGGGATGCTGAAGGTGGTGTCTTGGAAAAAAGAGTGTTGCCAAGTGAACAGAGCTTCTTGCGGAAATTGCCCCCTGTACGGTAGTTGAACAACGAGCTGCTGGCAGTGGGAACCAACTGCGAAGAAGGCGTGAGTAAGTATGAAGGAACCAAGTCTATTTCTGGAGACAGCGATCTTTCCTTGACTTGTAGGATTGAAGCCTCTGTGTCAAAAGGAAGCTGATTGACGGTGAGCCTGTTGTCGCTCTGGCCGTTGAGATCACGCACAAAGTCGAGCATTGACAGTTCCGACATTGCGAACTCAGACCCGTCCGAATAGTGGGAAGACGCCGAGACTAGAGCTGTCATCATGGTGGGTTTTGCTGGCAAGAAGTAGTTGTTAATAAATTGGTGGAGGCTTTGGGTGCAAAATTCGAGAAAAGGTGCAAAAAGACTGGCGCGCGCGGCACGTGACACGCCCCAAGTTCGCCAGACTGATGGTATAGTGGGAGCTGGAGAGAGAATGAAGATAAAATCACACGAATGAGGGCCAAGAATATTCATTCAGAAATACCCCTGATGGCGTTGTGGGCTAAACTAAAAACTTGGCTTTAATGGGTGGAAGCTCGGAATTATGTGACCTTGGAACGGACGTAGCGATACCTTGAAAATGAGCTTGCCGATCTCTGCTGACAGGTAGATGCTTTTCTAGATTTGGCAGGCCAATACATGTCATGCGCTATTGTTGAGTTTTCAGAAAGCATGTCTTGAAGCCGTCAGGAAGAAATATTACCACGAATTCAGAAATTAGCTGCAGGCTTGAAAGCATAGTACTTGCAGATACGGAACTCAGATAGCATTCTAGGTTCAAAGAATTGAACTAGCATTTAAATATTTCCGCCATGCTGCCGTCCTATTTCAAGACTGTCCTCTTTTTGACTCACCAATCCTGCCGGAACAAATAGTCACGCTCATTTCTTGAACCAGAGTTCTGGTCTGTGAGCGGATTGATACCAGCTGGCTGCATATTTGTGTGAACATGAGTCTACAAGGGCTTTTCGAATAGCCCATGGATAATGATTGTTTGATTATATTGCATGAATGTTGTGTGATTATATTGTATGATTATTGTGTGACTATATTGTATGATTGTTACGTGCTGGTTTATATGAGTCCTGGCATATTGTCCTGACGTGTACATTCTCCTGGCCTTGTATCACCGTCTAGTCCACCGGTTGTGAAGAAGAAATTCATTCATGAATGTGCCCGGAGTACAAGGCGCTTGGTCAGAAATACTAAACTACTGTGCAGACCCGTCTTGCCAATCTGATAAGCATGTAGGAGTTCTTGTGACAGTTGTTCTGTTTTTCGATTAGTGCATCCAAACTGCGATCGGGCTGTCCAATTTTGCAGCGGCTAGAAAGTGAAGACTGTTACAACACAGCCTGTACCTACAGAGCACAAAGCGTAACCACAGAGAACAGAGCGTGACTACAGAACATAAATTAATTGCCTGAAACGGTACTAGTGTAAGTCCTTGAGAAAGTTACCAGAATATGGACCTCCAGACGCGTGACGAGATGATGGTCTCTTCGTCCAGAGGCCCTCAGACCAAGAGCGTTTGACGTTACGTGAATGGCAACATGCCTCGAGATTTTGATCCTTCACGGAGCCCCTGGAACCAACGGCAAGCAGCTACAAAATTCTTCGGATGCAGTATGTGCTCATTCAAATTTACCTCATTATGAGGTACTGGGCTATTCACAACAACACAATCGGTATCACAATGATACCCATCGAGGGCAGAGCCTTGTCATAGGTGAAACAATTCGAGCCAAGTAAGACGAGCTTTTTTCTTGTGAAAGGTATTATTATAGATGAGCTACTGGAAAAAGAAGTTGCCCGTTGGGCAGATGAGAATCGGGTCCGAGAACCCTGGTGCCAAACCAATGTGCAGCCAAGCTATTTTGTTCACATTACCGATGATCTTGATGAGCAGAGGACCTGGCGTCTGATGATTTCATCTGCAGAAACCTGAAAACCTGGCGTCTGATGACTTTATCTGCAGAAAGCTGAAAGCCTGGTGTCTGATGATTTCATCCGCAGAAAGCTGAAAACCTGGTGTCTGATGACTTTATCTGCAGAAAGCTGAAAGCCTGGTGTCTGATGATTTCATCCGCAGAAAGCTGAAAACCTTCCAATCCAGCATCTGCTACACCATGGAATATAGCGCCACGTCGGAACCCACCCCCGGAAGTCGGGCACCCCCGCGCACCCGTGCACCCGCGCACCAGCCGAACGCCAAGCGCGTCGTACAGCCTCCACCACTCCAGGCCAGCTCATTCCAATCCCCACAAACAACCCCGATCCCATCGCCTCAAAAAGCCCACACACCACCGGATATGGAATACGACCTCAGGTATGACGCCAAGAGCAAGGGCATGGTGTTCAAGCAGCAGCCCGAGCACGTGACGGCCCTGCTCCAGCTCGAGCTTGAGCAGACCAACACGTTGATATCGGAGCTCATGAATCTCGCGGCGGCGGTGCCGCCCAAGGCGTCACCGGAGACATTCAACAAGGACTTGTCCAAGATGATCAAGAAATTGTACGAGTCCGGCGTGGCGCTGTTCAAGCAGGGCAAGTACACGGAGTCCGCCAAACAGTTCAGCATTGCGCTTGAGATTGCCAACCGCAGAAGCAAGTTCGAGGCGTTCCAGGGCACGTTGCAGGAAATCAGTCTCTTGCTCATGAGCCGCGCGGACGCGCACTTGAAGTGCAAGGAGTACTTGAAGGCGTTCAACGACGCCGACATGTTGATCAGCATGATGGTGTGCACGCCCGACAACTTCTTGCGCCGCGGGGTGGCCAACTACTTCTTGGCCAACTACGAGGACGCGCGAGCCGACTACCAGCGCGGCTTGGCGTTTGACGAGAAGAACGAGCGGCTCCAGAAGGAGTTGGACACGTGCCTCGCCCGGATTCTCGAGGAGAACGGCGACCACTTGTAGAGAGTTCCGAGGCTGGGCGGAAGACGGGCCGGGCGACGCTTCCGTGGCTCTGCTGTGTCCAGCGAGAACCGGCAATGGCCCGGTCCAAAGGGCGGTGTGCGGCGGAGTGCAAGCACAGAGTAGCGGCACGAATTATAAGAATATACAGCGGGCGGGCGAGGTTCCCGGAACGCCACTAAGCACGTTCCAGATCACCTGTAGCAGGGCGAGGCGGCGCGCTTGGGGGGCCAGCCCCGGCCGAGTAGCTCGGTCTAGCGAGCATACTGCCCAGGCGTGGTATCTTTTTACTTTCATTCGATTTTTTTCATATTTCTAGTTTCCAGCTAGGACGTGGTGGGTGAAGACCAGTGTGGGGCGCAGATGCCGGGTATGCCGCTTCGGAGATCCACGGAAGAAGCGAGATGTAATAATGAAGCTGGTCAATCTGAGATGGATGGTTTAGACCACAGGATTGAGATGGGGTAAGACTTGAAAACTTGGGAGATGGGAAAGCCATGGACGCGACAACAGGTGGTAGTACGTGGTAGAATGATGCTTTTGTTCTGGAGTTCGTAGATGACAGGTGGAGTAGTACTAATGCTTTTGTTATGACGTTGGTAGATAGCAGGTGGATTAGTACGTGGGAACAATACTGGTTTTGTTGTGAAGTTTGTAATAACAGGTGGAGTAGTACGTGGTGATATTACTGCTTTCGTTATGAAATTGGTAGATAGCAGGTGGGTACGTGGTGTAATGATGCTTTTGTTATGAAGTTGGTAGATAACAGGTGTATTTCGTACATGAAAACCATCCTGCTTTTGTTAAGAACAGGTGGATTAGTACGGGGTATAATAAAGCTTTTGTTATGAAGTACGTAGATACAGGTGAATAGTACGTGAAAATATTGATGATTTTGTTGTGAAGCTCGTAAATTGGACGGTGCAATAATATTACGTCTCACCATTAATGATTTGGGTGAAGCATTGGAACGACTTCATTGAACCGCGCATTTGGTGATAACAATACTGCTTTTGTTATGAAGTTGGTAGATAGAAGGTGGTAGTACGTGGTATAATACTGCTTTTTTATGAAGCTCGTGGATAACAGATGAATTAGGACGTGGTAACAATATTTCTCTTGTTACGAAGTTCGTAGATAACAGGTGGATTAGTATGTGGTGTAATAATGTTTTTGTTATGAAGCTCGTCGTTAGCAGGTGAATAGTACGTGGTATAATAATGATTCTGTTATGGAGTTCGTAGATATCACATGGATAGTACGTGACAACAATACTGTCTTTGTTATGAAGTTCGCAAATTGCATGTGGATTAGTACGTGGTAACAATAATGAATTTGTTATGAAGCTCGTAGATAGGTGACTAGTACGTGGTAACAATAATGATTTTATTATGAAGTTCGTAAAATGCGTGTGGAGTAGTACGTGGTAACGATAATAATTTTGTTATGGAGTTCTTAGATAACATGTGGATTACTACGTGGTAATGATACTGCTTCTGTTATGAAGTTTGCAAATTGGACGGTGCAATAACATGTCTGACCATTAATGATTTGGGTGAAGCATTGGGTCCTAACAGAACTTCATTGAACCGCGCATTGGGTAATAACAATACTGCTTTTGTTATGAAGTTGGTAGATAACAGGTAGATTAGCACGTGGTATAATGAAGCTTTTGTTATGAAGTACGTAGATAGCAGGTAAATAGTACGTGGTAACAATACTGACTTTATTATGAAGTTAAAAATTGGACGGTGCAATAACATGTCTGACCATTAATGATTTGGGTGAAGCATTGGGTCCTAACAGAACTTCATTGAACCGCGCATTGGGAATCCTGTTACCGAAGGGTACTGGATCAGCCATCCTGAAAAACGTGCTAGGCTACGCAGCGATCCCACAGCAAGAAGCGAATGAGTCTAATGCGTTCGATGACTCAATCTACAGCCGAAAAGTACATTACCAACAACCTTCAATCATACGCCGCCATCCTCGTCGCAGGGAATGTACTGTAATGGCCTTCTGATGCGAGCCTTCCAGGCCCAGCCGCGCATTCCAGAGCCAGGCGCGCGACTTCCGGGGCCACAGAAGCATATTCCGGGGCCACAGAAGCCTATTCCGGGGCCACAGAAGCCTATTCCGGGGCCACAGAAGCCTATTCCGGGGCCACAAAAGCATATTCCGGGGCCAGGCGCGCGCATTCCGGGGCCAGGCGCGCGCTCCCCCGGCCGTCTTCTCTGGCGCCGCGGCCCTCCTCTGATAACACCCCATTTCTTCATCCGGTCCTCAGAATGCTGGCTCATTCGGACGATTCCGTCATCGTGCTTTCGGACGACGATAGCCCTGCCCCCGCCGCGCGCGCGCCGCGCCCCGACGCCCGAGCCCGCCCGCGCCAGGCCCACTGGCCCGCCGCCCGGACCCTCCGATCCAGCGGCACAGACGGGCACTGGGACCCGCCCCAAAACACGCCCCGATCCCGCGGCAACGGCGCCCGGCCGGTCCCCGTCGGCCCGGCGGCCCCCCTGCCGAAAAGAGCCCGGCTTCCCGGCGCGGCGCCGGCGCGGAACGCGCCCGAACACGCGCTTTTTGTGGCGGCTCTGGACCAAAGCGATCTGGACCGGGACGCGGGCCCGGAGTTGCAAGTCCGCGGCCGGCCGGGGCGGCACGGCGCCGGCGCGATTGGGCCCCGCGAGGACCGCGGCCCGCGCGTCCGTGGCGGGCCGGCGCAGGCCCGGCAGAACGAGGTGGTGGTGATTAGCGACAGCGAGGACTCGGGGCAGGAGGGCGGCGCGGGCTCCAGCGGCCGCGGCCTGTTGCCGGGCACACGGCCAATGGCGCGGCTTGCGCGGCTCGGCGCAGGCGCCAGCAGTGCACGTGACGCGGGTCCCGCCGACCGTTTCTTCAGCTACTCGGACGACGATTTCGTGGGCGGCCGACCGGCTGGCGAGGGTTTCAACAAGGCGGCTGGCGAGGGTTTCAACAAGGCGGCTGGCGAGGGTTTCAACGAGCCGTCGGACGAGGGTTTCAACGAGGCGGCTGGCGAGGGTTTCAACGAGCCGTCGGACGACGAAATCGCCATTCTCTCAAAGGAGGAGGCGGAGCGCGTGGGCACGTTCAAGAAAAGCACATTTGACGCGCCGGTGCAGCCGGCACCAGGCCCCTACACCCAGCTACCAAACCTCTACAACCAGCCGGTACCCGTGTTCCACGCCGGCGCCGCGGCCGGCGACAGCCCGCTCACCAGCCACGAGGACCGCGTGACCCACGACTACTTCCTGAAGTTCTCCCCAGCAAAACTACACACGTACGCGCACGACCTCGACAAGCAGGTGGGCCGGCTCCAGGAGGAAACCAAGGCGCACTTCGACGACGTGCGCGACACGCGGCGCAAGATCCTGATGCTCACGTCCGGCCAGGCCGCGCTCCGCGACACGTACCTCCACCACGTGGCCGAGACGCTTCGCCTCGCGGACTTGCTGCTCCAGCGCCTGAAGAAGGTGCGGCACTACCGCGCGATCGCCGAGTCGGTCAAGAACGCCAAGCTCGCGCAGCACTTGGCGCCCGTGCGCCTGGGCCCGCGCGGCCTGGCGGGCGCGGACCCCGCCGGGTACGGCGCCAACGTCAACCCCTACATGCTGCGGCCCGCCAACGGCGACCAGGCACACCTCGAGGATCTCTTCAAAGACCTCTACCGCGAGGAGAAGGTGGAGGGCATGGCGCCCACGCCAGCGGCACTCTCCATCCAGCTCTTGGACCACCAGCGGCGCGGGCTCTTCTGGCTCATGGAGAAGGAGCGGGCCGCGCAGGGCTGCATTCTCGCGGACGACATGGGGCTCGGCAAGACCGTGCAGACGCTCGCGGTGATGGCCGCGAGCCCGCCCCGCGACCCGGCGTGCCGCACCACCTTGATCGTGGGGCCCGTGTCCTTGCTCCGCCAGTGGGCCGCCGAGATCAAGGCCAAGATCAAGCCGTCGCACGCGTGGCGCGTCGCGTCGTTCCACGGCCAGGACCGCCGCCGCTTGGCCTCTTTCGCGCACTTGGCCGAGCACGACGTCGTCCTCGTCTCCTACACCACGCTCGCGTCGGAGTTCAGGCAGCACTTCCAGCAGGAGATGGAGGCCGCGCAGGTGACGAAGCACCAGAACGTGCTCCCGCCCCGCGGCTCCGGCGGGCAGACGTACATGTCGCCCTTCTACTCGACCGACGCCCGCTTCTTCCGCATCGTCTTGGACGAGGCCCAGTACATCCGCAACAAGACCTCCCAGGCCTCCAAGGCCACCGCCTGCTTGCGCGGGCGCCACCGCATGTGCTTGACGGGCACGCCCATGCAGAACACCATCGAGGACCTCTACCCCATCTTGAGGTTTCTCCAATGCAGGCCCTACGACGAGGAGGCCAAGTTCAAGCAGGACATTGCCGTCCCGCTCAAGTCCACCAGCGACAACTTCGATGACTACGACAGAAACGCTTCGATGAAGAAACTCAGGGCCGTGTTGCTGGCCGTCATGTTGCGACGGACTAAAGACTCCAAAGTCGACGGCAAGCCCTTGGTGCAGCTCCCCGAGAAAACAGTGACTCCCGTGTACGTGAAGATGGAGAACGAGGAGCTCGAGTACTACAACGCGCTCGAAAAGGGCATCCAGAAGAAGGCGCGAAAACTCATGGTGTCCTCGGATGGCCAAGGCCATAGTTCCTTTCTCACTCTACTTCTCCGCTTGCGGCAGGCATGCATCCACCAGTTCTTGGTGGAGGTGGGCGAGCTCAACGCGCAAGAAAACTCCGAGTCCTTCCATGGAACAAACTGGGAACAAATGTACAACAGGGCCCTCACTATGAGCGAGAACGTGCATAAGGTCTTGCGTGACCTCACAAAAAAGGAAACAGACTTGACCTTGAACGGCCTCCCGCAGGATGAGCGCAAGGAATTGCAACACACCTGCCCCATGTGTCTAGACGTCGTTGGAGACGACTCCATCGTCATCCTCGCCAATTGCGGCCACATGATCTGCGACGGATGCGCCAGCACCTTGTTTATTCTGAATGGCATGATACAAGAGGCGCCCGTGTGTGCGTCGTGTGAGACTTTCACCTCCACGACCGACATTGTCGACTACACAATGTATGACAAGATCTTCAACATGAATTACGACTTCCCAAAGCTACAGCACATATGTCCAACACAAAGAAAAGTACCAACTCCGAAAAGGTCAAGTTCTTGATACAAAGAGACCAAGGCTTCGCGCTCTCGGCCAAGATGGAAAAGACTTTGGACATCATCAAGGAAATCACAGATAACACCCTTGACGAAAAAATCATTGTGTTTTCGCACTTCACTGTTACATTCGACCTCATGGGACATGCCCTCAAACAGGATAACATCAAGTATTTGAGGTACGACGGAAGCATGAACATCGACGACAAAAATAACACGATCAACGAGTTCTACCAGGGCGCTCCGCGGGTGTTGCTCATTTCCTTAAAGGCCGGAAACGTTGGATTGACGTTGACGTGTGCGTCGCACGTGGTGATCATGGACCCGTTCTGGAACCCGTATGTCGAGGACCAGGCCATGGACCGGGCACACAGGTTTGGGCAAGAGCGATCAGTCAAGGTCTATCGGTTGTTGATCCGGAACAGTGTCGAAGACAGAATCATGGATCTTCAGGAGAGGAAAAAAGAGTTGATTGGCTCGGCGCTCGATGAAAACGCCTTGAAGTCGAGCAGTCATCTTGGAAGAAGAGAGTTGGGTTACTTGTTTGGCTTGAACAGTCTTCAGTGAGTCGAAGCGGGTTATATGTACTTATGAACGAAACTTCTTGACCTTCAACAAGTTTCTCGACCAGTCGTCCTGGCTTACTAACAGAGGCTTGACCAAGCATAACTCCCACGTGAGCATGCTCTCGAAATTCAAGCCGTACTTGTCCAAAGATTTGCAAAGATATATGAGCTGGAGCACCACGCCATCTTTGTGTCCCTTGATCTCCACGTCATCATCGTTGTTCGCTGAGCCAATGCCCTCGAAGTGTTCCCGTAGCTCCGAAATCAAGATTTTGACCAAGCTTTTGACAAATGTGTGCATTAGAAAGTCGTCTTCGTTTTTGTTTCCGACGGCTGTAACTGAGTGGAAGATGGCTCGGTATATCGAAAGTGAGTTCGAGAGATGTTCTCTGTACGTTTCGATGCAGCGTTTCAAGTAAGTGACTTTCTTCAACTTGAGCAATGGTTTCAAGGAGGCAAGTTCGCTTGTGATGAACTTGAAGCGAGAATTCAAAAAAATGACTTTGAGCGAGCGGTTTTGCAACCCGCTGGCACGGGCTGGGGTGTTGGAAGTCGTCTCGATGCCGGACCCATCGGCAATGTTGAGCAAGTCGGGCCGGTTCAAGATCTGAAAGATTTTCAAGATGCTCGACTGTTTCAAGTTCGTGTTGAGAAGCTTGATCAAGCCTTTGACCATGATCTGGAGCTCGGCTTTGATCTTGTCCTCGATCATGCGGAAAGTCTGCAAAGTGGGGAACTTGATGATAAGCATCTTAACCGTCATTGAGATCTCCAATGCCTCCTGGTAGTTTCCTTGCAAGATGCATAGCTTACACAACGTCGGGAGCTCCAAGACATCTAAGACAGAGTCGAAGTCGAAAAGCACGGAATTGCTGGCTGCTGCAGCTTTCTCGGCAGCTCGGGTTTTGGCTGGCATGTCCCACTTCACATGCATGTCCCGGATGTTTACGAGAATGGCGTCGATCTCGGCGTCGAGCCTGGAGTGGATTTTGACAGACGCCGCCTTGAGGTCCTGGCTCACGTTGATGATCAAATCGCGGTTTTCGTTGGTTGTTCTGGCCAATTCCATGTCGATTTGCCGGGCTCGCAGGTCTAGCTCGGCGATTTCCTCGGTTAGCGTCGTTTTCCCCGGGACTGCCGAGCTTGTGCTTGCAAACAGGTCAGTAGAAAGAAGCTGATCATTCACCAAAAGATCGTTGATGTATTTTGCCGTTTCGCTTCGAAGCGTTTCATCGGTTTCTAGTTTGGAGGCAAGCTCTGGATCTAGGTTCTCCTTGAGGCAGTCGATGAGCAATTGTGACATGGTTCCTGTGCTTTTTTGGAGGCTATTGGTTTTGATATGCACGTGCCTGATCAGCTGAAATTGACTGAAATCGGCACTCTAGTTCGGGCCAAGTAGACTGGGGTTATACCAGGCCGAGACACGTTGGGCTGGAGTTGCCCTCGGTTTGGGGTTATATGCACACAGGGACGAGTTCCGGGGGCTAGACTGACTGGGGCCTGCGGTCGACCCATAGCGCCCCTCGGATTTGGCGAAACGTGAACTGACGGTTCGGAAACGAAGTTTCAAGATGTGTTGACCCAAAGGCTGTGCTCTCCAGTATCTGCACATTACGTTTCAGCCTAACTTTTCAGGGCGACACGCTCCAAGGGCCTGCGCACGTGACCGCCGGATGTTGTCTATCGGGCCCGTGCGCGGGTCGTGCGGCGCCCATCTTCCTCTAATCAGAGCCCACTATCAACGACCAGGACCTCCATTCACCTCACTCGCCGCAGTTGCTAACCCACCAAGCCCATCCGTGGACGCCGCTTCTCAATTTATACTCCCGCCTTAAGAAACACGCGCTTTCAAATATGGAGGGCCTTTTTTTCAATATCGACTACGGGTACGTGGAAGGTGTGGTTCGCGGCTATCGGAACGGGCTTTTGACCCTGAACCAGTATGTCAACTTGACCCAGTGTGACACGTTGCAGGACTTGAAGTTGCAGCTTTCGGCAACGGACTACGGTAATTTCTTGGCGTCGCAGGCGGGCCCCTTGCTGACGTCCATCATCCAGGACAGGCTTTCCAAAAGAATGTACCTGGAGTTCCAGTATTTGCGGGGCCAGAGCACGGGCAAATTGGCCCGCTTTATGGACTTCATTTCCTATGGCTACATGATCGACAACGTGCTGTTGATGATCACGGGCGCGTTGCACGAGCGCGACTTGGCCGACATTTTGCCCAAGTGCCACCCGTTGGGATGGTTCGATACGCTCCCCACTTTGTCTACGGCCACCGATATCGACTCCTTGTACGACGTGGTGTTGGTGGACACCCCGTTGGCGCCCTTTTTCAAGGACTGCTTGACGCTCCATGACTTGGACGACTTGAACATTGAGATCATCCGCAACAGGTTGTACCGCAACTACTTGGAGGCGTTCATCAAGTTCGTCGAGCAGGAATTCGACGGGCCGGACCTCGAAATCATGACGCGCTTGTTAAGCTTCGAGGCGGACAAGCGTGTGATCAACATCGCGTTGAACTCATTGCACAACGCGGAGTTGAGCGCAGAGGACAAGCTCGGTCTTTTTCCCCGCTTTGGCCAGTTGTACCCCGTGTACCACAACGAGTTGGCCAGTGCCGAGGAGGTGGAACAGATCAAAGCCGTGGTGGAGTCCATCGGCGAGTTCAGGGACATTTTCAGCGACTCGCAGGGCACCGGCGGCCAGAAGAACATTGAGGACTGGTTCTATTTGTTGGAGATGAGGTACAACAAGAACGCGTTCACGCAGCAGTTCACGTTGTCGAGCGTGTGGGCGTGGTTGCGCTCCAAGGAACAGGAGGTCCGCAACATCACGTGGATTGCCGAGTGCATTGCGCAGAACCAGAAGAACAGAATCGACAACTACATCTCAGTTTACTAGACACGGTGCAAATAGCAATGTACTGGGGATGGCCTGAAGAATCTGGCGAGAGACCGCTGCCCTGTACGTAAGTGTGGTTTGGGGTATCCAGTCCAAGAGCATTAAGTCGTGTTTGAACAGCACAGGTAGGGCGCCCCCGAGGGATGATTTCCGCTCTGGTTCGGCCAGGAGTACGCTTTGCTTTGAAAGCGGTGTTTTGATCCGAGGTTGTGGCAGTTTCCGAAACAGCGCTTGATACTCAAAGGAGCCCAAAGTAGCGCTCGTATATACATCTAAAATTTCTCCTAATTTGAGTTCTTTCGGCCCGCTTTTCTCCGCTCACGAAACTAACACAGCCTTGCACTGTCTTGTTGTCCAAAAAAGATAGGTGCATGCCGAAAAGCATATCTGTACTTCATAGGTCGCATGAAGCATAAGTAAGGCAGTTCAGTCACTTCGCTCCCAGCCGAGCTCCTATGGTGGGATGAATCCAAAAATCGTGGTTTCAAAAAGAACGCCTTTTCACAGGCCAAAAGCTGTGAAGTTTTTTTTAAGGCTCCGTAAGACTTGGCTGATAGCAGGGACCAGGTCGATGTCTGCACGAAGCGGGCCTTTTATTCTGGAGTCACAACAAGGCATGATTGGGTGAGTGTTTTTTTTTCTACTATGGGAATAAGACTCCTCCAGGTCAGGAAAATTTGTTGCATGCTCATTGTGGACTTCCTGCCTCAACCTTGGCAAATATAGACGTGTGGGAATATTTGCAGACCAAACCAACATGGAGCTATAATTTTCCAAAGAAAGCAAAACAAATACATCAAAGCTAGTAGACTTTTTCTCCGGTGTTTCACTGGTTTATACCACTCCTAAGCAACGGGGAGCATGATTTGACCCGAAAACAAGCGTGGTCTTACAGCTACGCTGTAGCATATCTCTATTCAGACAAAAATCGCCCGTTTCTTGGTAATTAATACCACATGACATGAAGTACAAAACGTTCTGGATAATGGTCTGGACTGTGAGTCTGTGCAGAGGATTTTGGCAAAAAGACGGATTCATCACTAGACCCTTGACGACTGGGACCCGATACCCATTGACCCCTATTGGACGTTTTGAAATATTACATCTCTGTGCAAGAACGGGTCAGATAGTGAAGGGAAGCTACAACTGGAGATTAAACCACAAAGACAAACTCGATGATTCCAAGACAAGGAATGTGTTCGTATTTGTATTGCCGTCTTGACCGGCGCTGGTCTAGCAAAATTGGTTCTTGAATAGCTAGCAGTAAGTGACGGACATCAAATCTCCCGTTGCAAGTGAAGGCGTCGACGTACAATATTTTTTAATAGAGGGACACGGATTAAACATTTCTGTAGAGTGCACATTTAAGACCTTGGCTGCAAAATGGGTCTCTTTCAGACCACACCGGCAGTCTTGAAATGTCTACGTAGAGCCCCTATTGCTATGGGCATTTTGCTTAGTGTCCCATCGGCACATCGAGATCCCACCTGAGAGAATACAAGCTCCAGTGTCCTGACCATTTTTTCAGAATGAAACCTGGAGTCAGCAGGGGAAATCAGCCTGAAAAGCACGAAGTTGAAACAGTACAACATAATTATGACTACTCTTAACACTAAACAAAACATTACATAGTATGCAAGGCCTCTCTATATACTAATTGAAAACGAAACATCATTAGCTCATTTCCCGCGGTCCGTCAGAATAAAGGGTGGAAACACTCTTAGAAAGCCTATAGAATAAAGAGTAGTTGAAGCTATACGATCTTTAGTCCATTTTCAATCACGGATCATATGTGTCCCGCAGGACCCTAAGAGAAGCATTGGATTTCCAATGCCATCTTTGCACACACCAAATCCACAGCAATGGAGGCATCACAGACAGCCGCCTTCCTTATCCATCGCCACAACAACTGTAAAATATTCAAACACTAATGACAAGAGTTAAAATTTGAGGCAAGATTGTCTCATAGAGCACAATTTGAGTTTCATCAACAAGTTCTATCTGCTTATGCAATTACAGATATTGGCGTTTTTTTTTTTTGAATGTGAGTGAGAGAGATGCGGAGACCGATGTCAGTGAGATGGTCAATAAAAAAATGATTTCCGCCAAAATCAACAGACCGAACGGGGTGATCAAGTTTGACAAGTTGGAGATGGTTCGACTGCCGGGGACAACAAACAACAACAAGTAACAATATTGATTTCTTGAATAGCTGATTTCACGACGGTGATCACTTGTTAGAAGAAGTTGACAGCATTCGTCATCTCGTCAACAAAGAAGAGATGATGCACGGCATCAAACAAGAAGCATGATTCTTGAAAAATGTCGCACTCTATGCCTAACGCCTACATGCTTCTCCAACTTCAAAAGAAAAGATCATAAATCACAATAATTGGATTTGTTCGCAATATTCATCTCGTCTTTTGTTCGAGTACGTGGTGGACTCAGGCTTCAATAGACAATCTGGGCTTCCTGCATGCTGCTGAAGTGGTGGCTGCTTCGGACCTCAAAATGTTTAGTTCATTTATCCCACTTTCGAGAAGAATTTTGGTTTGTCTTGAAATGTTCTTTCTTATTCACCTGACACATTCTTTTTCATTGTAAATATTTCTGATCATGTCTTATATCTCCATGATATGCTACACACCGACAGACATAGGTGTCGATCCGCGAATCGATAGCCTGATTTCGCAGCCATACTTTGTTAGGCCGCCGACTGCAAAAATATTTTTCCCATATAAGCGAGGGTTCCCTTCTTTGTTTCCAAACACTCATTTACTTCTCCATCTTTCACGACGACACGCTTCATCATGATTGCACAAGTGATTTTTTGCTTCAGACTCATCAATTGCGTTTCGGAAATCGCCGCGCTCTGCCTCACAGGCTATTTTCTTGTCGTGCTCCTTCTTGAACTCTCAGTCCAGGCAGAATCTGCCACCATGGACTTGAACGCTGTTCAAATCGAAGAATACTACTCTGGCCCCTTCGGGGCTGAGCCTGAGATTCAGACTCGCAGTGGAAACACTACCTCTGATTTCATCTCTGTTCAAATTGCTGCTGCCTCTGCTCCCTTTCATCCCAGATATTCAAAGGCCACAGAAACAGACTCCTCCACTGCCTTCTCTCCATCAAGCGACGGTAGCTTTTTGGAATTGTCCGACGGAGACACTGGTGCTTCTTCCGTTCTTTCTTTCAACTCAGACTCTAAGCTTGGCTCCTCGGCTGGTTCTTCTATGAAGCCAGCCGTAGTTGTAGACTGCACTGAGAATGATGAGATCAAAAGAACGCAAGGAAACTTGTTCCCGGACAACAATTCTATTTTCAATGGGGAACTTGAAATCTCCAAAGTGGAAACCATCGCTCTGCTGCCTGCCGCTAACCCAGATATTGACATGGAGTCTGGGTGGCAAGTTCAGGGTAGAAAGCGCAGAAATTCTCGCAAAAGAACCGGCACAAAAGTGAATACAGTTTCTGGGACTAAGGCAACTGTTTCCGAAAAGAAACTAGCCAGTGAACCAGAATCCGCTGTAGCTGGCTCCCCTTTTTCTAATAATCCTTTTCTGGTTTTGGCTGACATCGATGAGAGTGACTATCAGGAACCACTCCCAAGCAGACAATACAAGAAAGTTCCTGGAAAGCTCGAGCTCTCTTCTCTTGAAATCGTGATTCCTGACAGCTCTCTGGCCATGGACTTGACTACGAGAAACGACGAGGTGCTTAACCTGAATGTAGCCTGCAATATCATGGACATGGCTTGTGAATCTATTGATGAGAAAGACCTGGGACTCAGCCAAGAATACACTCAGAATTCGCCCCAAGAATCTCCCCAAAACGCGGGAGAAAAAATGGGCTCCCAACAAGTCGGAACTACCGTTGGAATGTCTGATATTCTTGTATCTGATATTTCTGATCACGGCTGGAAAACTCAAGGCAGAACGCGCAGGAATTCTCGGAAAAGGCCTGAGCCAAGCCTCATTATGGTGACAACAACGGGATCAATCCTGACTGATCAAAAGAGTTCCTTGGGATCAACCGCATCAATGAACCAGCCCTCCTCTAATTTGAATCCTTTCCTGGTGTTGGCTGAAATGAGCGAAGAAGATTTTCAACAAGCCACACCAAGAAAATACTTATGTCTCAAAACCTGAGGCAATTGCTGGCCACTGGATCAATGGACAGCACCGTGTTACTAATTCGTTAGCAACATTCTCGTAGACTGATGATTAACGGTTGGAACAGGCCGTAATTTCTATTTGTTTTGAAAAAAAAAATCAAAAAAAAAAAAAAATTAAAAAATTAAAAAAATTAAAAAAAAATTAAAAAATACATCGGTGTGGTCTTCGCCCTCTTCGATGTTTTCTCCACTCATAAGATATATAGGAATAAACAGAACTCTACATTTACAATTCACTAGTATGTCTTCAAGCTGGATCACGAGCAATACGGAGCTTTTCTTATATTCATGAATGTTGCAAGTGTTGCTGCATACTATTTCCGTGGTGGAGGCTTTTCTTTCATGTTGTCTTGATAGTCATTCTGTGTATACAATTTCATCTTCGATTTGATTTATGGGGCAGATTTATTGATGAGCTTAGAACTTTTGAAATCAGGTAAAAATTCGTAGCTCAGGGATACAGCGCCTGAAATGCAGAGAAATGATTGACCAAATCGAAATTAATAGTCGCCATGAGTGCCTTTATTTACACAAGGTTATGGATGAGCTGCAGTTCCTCCTGGCGGCCAGCCTGAGTTTAATTGCTTTCAACGATACAATAATTCCAGTTTCCGAAAAACCTCTCATTGAACCTGAGTTTTTTATTGACTAAAGACCCTCAAATTTGGATCCTCACATTTGGCACTCTTGAACATCGAATTATGCCCGCCATCTTCGTGATATCGTACTGGTGGGTCACTTTATCAAAGGGTCAACGCTTCATTAGAGTGTTTTGAAATTCAATCGGCATACAGTCAAATCATTTGAATATTAGTTCTGAATCAAGCTCTTAGAAAAAACCTAAGCACCGGCAAATTCAAGTATTTAGTGCAAAGAGAGAGTACATCAAATGCAGTCTTTAATTTATACATCAACCAAAAAGTTACAATTAGAATCTCCTGATTCGAATTCCCACCTCACTGGATATATTCTACCCGAATGAAGTCTTTTGATAGAATATCAGAAGTTAGCTCAATTTTTGAGGGCTTGGAAGTACGTAGACACATACTCTCGAGCCACATTTATTCCCCTAGATTGGTTTAACAGAAGGAAGATAACACTAGGCGCATATCAGTAGGAAACTAAGACCATTTGAATTTCTCTCAAACATACACCTACAGCAAAAATACAGCCGTTCCTTCGCAATCAAATTTTTTTTTCCATGGAATAAGAAGTAAATTGCATGACTTCTTTTCACCACCACATATGAAACATGAATACCCCGATAAAAATAACTAAACCAACTGTACACACTCCTTATCTTTGAAATGCTGGCCATGAAACGTTCTCACTTTGTGAATTTGCCATTTGTATACTAGGCAGTTATCACGTCCAAAAAAGATTGCAGCACCACAATTTCGCATATGGTCTCCCACTACACTACTCAGTGTGGCCCTATGCAGCTTAACTAACGTTGATCGGACGGGAAACAGTGCTTTCTGCATGGTATGGCCGCAACCGACAGTATACGTTGAAGAACATTCAAGTAGTCTAAAGTAACCACATTTTGTTTCTGTGGATCTTTTAAACCTTAAAAATTGCATCCTCTTATACGTCAAATAATTTCTTTATGTTTAAAGTTGTAACTAACGGAAGAGGCGGGCCATGAATCTACCAAAAAAAAACTGGCGATCGTGCCCTGGCGAAAGTTTTGGAAAGAATTATACAAACAAGAATGGTTGGTACGATCTCACCGCTGTCCATCTATTCAGCCACGGCTCATATGTGCCCTTTCATGAGAATGAAGTTGAGGAGTCAAGATCCGAATGCAGGTTGTCTTTGAAAAGCTGGTATGGCGATCAGAAGCTAACCCAAGGGTGTGTGATTGTGCACTTTTGGCGGGCGGCAAAAATTTGCTTTCAAGCCCCAATGCACTTGAAACAGCTCCTTCAAATTCTTCTTTTGACAATCTAAGAAACCTTAATTGGCTTGTTAAGGTCGTTCGCGGGGTTTATTTGCTGAGGGACCAAAGACAAATGTACGTCTTGCCGCGTTGTCAAATGAACTAAGGACACGGTCCTCAGGAAAACATATCCTACAGAAAATGAAAATCAGTCAATGTCATTCAAGTGGTTGACAATGGTTATGCGCAGAAGTCTCATTTTCTTTGGGGTGCTCGCGCCATTTCATCCGGGCCAATGTTGCGATCTATTATGGGGATTTTCTTTTTATGGTTTTCTTACGTAACGGAGCATCCCTTCAGGGACACTCTATTATATGATGTTCTTTGAAAACAATTACTAAAAATCTGCCAAGCCAATGAGTTGGAACGAAAAATGGCTCCGACAACTCTTTGCAGAACTTAGCGCAATTAAATTGGTATCACGAGTGAGCTCCTTGAGTCCGCTTCAACCATCTGAGTTAAATTAACTACTACAAGAGACGTACCAGGAACCGATGGCGTAATATTCAATACTTCAAGGGTAACGGGTACCCGTTCAGGCTGTGGGTGACAAAAGGAGCTGTGCGAGTTTTGAAAATTGGGCCGATCTGGGAGCTGTTTAAATGTTTTACATTTTATATGTATATTTTGCTGCTTTGATCAGATGTGTCCAAGAAAACTTCTAGTTTCGGGAATATAAGGAAGCGGCATTCATATTCCGGCCAAACACTCGCATGTCTTCGGATTACACCCATTGATTTAGATGATACTAAAGAAGTCTGTCGATCTCAATTTCATACTAAAAGAATCACGTTTCTCTGTTTTCATGGCAGTTTTATCTGCAGGACTATCTTTTCTTTCAGAGCCTTCAGAAAGATGAACTATTGTATTGGATTCGAAGTGATTGCTCTGTGCCTCCAAGTCTGTAACAAACTCACTGGCTGGAATTGGTGCTGTAGGCCCTGGTATCCGACACTGAGGGTCCTTGTAAGCGCATACACACCTATGTGCACTCCCTGAGGTGAGTTCCGACAGAAGTCATTCGGAACAACTCATCGAAGGACTCTCGAGTTATATGGTTTTTCTAACGTGACTTCTAGATAGGTATATACCGGCGGAACAGAGCTCCTAGAGTTCTGGAGAAGCCAGTTTAATAGTAGAACATCCCATGGCCCGAACAGCTACCAACCTATTTGGTCACGTTTGTTCGTGTGAGCTATGAGCGAACATCACCATGCAATCTGCATGTGATGTGGTTGGAACAGTGGAGTTGTGATAAATGACCAGGCCAATGAATGGATACGTGCATTTGTGATCCAAGTGGGGGTTGGGTACGTGGTAATCTCGTGCCCTCACATTGCCATGCTCTAGTCAGAAAATGAGCATATTGGTAGCTTCCGAGCTTCAATTTGAAAAGAGGACATCCGCCGGGCCGTCTCTGTTCTGATCTTCCTGCTTCAATTAAAAAGAGGACATCCGCCGGGCCATCTCTATCCTCATCTTCCTGCTTCAATTAAAAAGAGGACATCCGCCGGGCCATCTCTATCCTCATCTTTCTTCTTCAATTAAAAAGAGAACATCCACCGGGCCATCTCTATCCTTATCTTCTTGCATAGGCAACCCTCCAGAGCAATTTCCAATACCATCCACCAATATGTTGCCGGAACCCGACCCGCGAAACAGCTTCCCCGGTTATGAGTCCGCCGCGCGCACCATCAATAGCCCCATCAATGGCACCCAAAGTCGCCCCAAACCACATAGAGACACCCTCTAGGCACCCCAAAAACCCGCCAGAGGCACCCCAAAACCCGCCAGAGGCACCCCAAAACCCGCCAGAGGCACCCCAAAACCCGCCAGAGGCACCCCAAAACCCGCCAGAGGCACCATAACCCGCTCCAAAGACCCCTAAAACCTCACCGGAGATACCCCCAACCCGCCCTGCACTCCCCCAACACGTCGCCAGAGGCACCACAAACCCGCCCCGAACAGCCCCCACAAACCCATGGCCTCGCCGCTTTTTCTTCCCTCGTCGCCCGCCGATAACCCCGGCCCGCACGGCCCCGCCGACGCGTCGCCCGGGCTTCTGTTCGCCGCAGCCACGACCCACGTGGCGCACGTGGCCGACGTGTTGGCGCTGGTAGCCGCCATCCACCCGTACGCGTTGATGGTGGTGTCGCCGGACGGCGTGACCTTCTTCGCCGAGTACAACCACGTGTTGAGCGTGCAGGCGGCGGTGGACGCGTCGCTCTTCCTGGTGTTCCGGTGCGCCGGCGCCGCCGTGCAGTTGGGCATCAACGTGCAAATGGTCAGCAGCGCGTTTGCCGCCGCCGCGGCCACGGGCCTGCCGCGGGCCAAGGGCGGCCCGCCGCTCCCGGACGCGGCGCCGGGCCCGGACCCGGTGTGGTGCCACCTCAAGTACCGCGGCGCCGGGCACGCGCTCGTGGTGGAGTTCGAGGACCGGCTCATGAGCGAGCAGATCGAGTTTGCCACGTTCGTCTTGGACGTGTGGCTGCCGCACGGCGATGCCGGCGCCGCGCTTGCGCTCGACCACGCGGCGTTGCGCTTCGAGGCCATTCTCCAGAGCGACATCCTCGCGGTGTTGCTCCTGGACCTCCACAGCCTCGGCACGGAGGACCTCCTGGTGTACGTGGGCGGCGCGGGCGGCGACAAGGGCGGCGACAAGGGCGGCGGCGCGGGCCTGGTGGACTTCGTGCTGCGCGGCGCCATCGGTGTCCTGAAGCTCGTGTACCCGCGGGCTCGGGCCGTGCTCCAGAAGGCCGAAGTCCACGGGCCGGGCGCGGCGCCGGGGCCCGTGGTGTGCACGCTTGGCTTCGCGTCGTTCCTGCGGATCTTCCGGGCGGTGAGGCTCTCGTCCAAGTGCAAGCTCATGGGCGACGCGGCCGGCGTGTTGTGCGTGCAGCTCCTCTGCAAGCACGCGGCGGCGCCGAGCTACCCGGGCACGTTGGTGGCGTTCCACATGCTCGAGAAGACGGCGCCGGGCGGCACGGCGCACGACGTGCACGTGGACATTGCGGGCTTGTTCGACGACCGTGTGTACCAGGAGGTGCGCGAGTACGGCGCCGGGACGGGTGGCGCGACGGGTGGCGGGACGGGCGTTGGGACGGACGAGCCCGCGTATCCGGCGGCCTGGTTGGACACCGCGCCGTTCTCGTACCAGGCGTTCAGGCGCCCCCTGGCCACGGGGGAGCCGCCGGCGAAGAAACAAGCGCCGCGTGATGCCGACCTGCCCGAGGTCCCGCTTTTCTTGTGACGGCCGCGGCGGGCGGGGCGCGGCATTCGCTGGTGTGTTGTAACGCCGGCTTCATTTGGCGATGTATGGAGAGCGGCTTCATCGTGTCTCCGTTGATCATCTTGTGATGGAGAGCGTGCTTCATCTGTGATGTATTGAAAAGCATGCTTCATCATCATATGTATTGCTAAGCCGGCTTCCGCCTGTGACTTATTGATACATCCAATATGTTCAGAAACCGGGCTCATCGTGTCTTTCTTGTTCGTCACGCGATGAACCGGCTTCATCTTGTGATGTATCGGAAATCTGCTTCAGCGGGTCTCCCTTGCTCATCCTGTGATGTGTGGAAAGCCGGCTTCTTCGTGTCTCTTGATCAACTTGCCATGTATAAAAGAGCCCGCTTCATCTTGGGATGTATTGGAAGCCTGGCCCATCATGCCCCTCTTGTTCATTTTGCGATGCATGAAAAAGACCGGCCATCATGCGCTGTGCTTAAGTAGTTTTCTTGAAAACGGCGAACCACGCGTCTCTGAAAGTGTTTGATACGCACGACGTCCGCAATGAAAACTCCATGGAATGGGACTGTTTGTTCCCCCGTGTCATGGACGAACATCGCATTTTTTCGGCACGTTGCCGGGTCCCATGGTTGTACGGAAGGTCCGCATTTCTCGCACATTGCCGGAAGGTAGCTGACTCTCCGTGCGTGAGTCTTCGAGTGTCTGTATGCGAGATTCAAACCAGTCATCACGAGCGGAATGTCCCTAGAATCAAGACGCCGCGAGAAAAAGAACAGGACCAGCTCTTTCCGAGCGAGCACAGCAAAACCCCCCGCCAGACAAAGAAAAGACAATTCCGACAAAACACAGGCCCGCTCGCATAAGAAGCATATCAAGAAACATGCGCCGTGGCGCATCGTCTCAGGATACAGGGCATGGATCTGTTACTCTCTTGGTTAATCTGGCGAGGTATAGATCAGACTTGTCCGTGGTTTCCTACCAGACGTGAACTCTGCTCTCTGGGTACGAGGGGCAGTGAGCAACCCAAGAATCCTCGGTGTGAGAAAGGCAAGATTTATGCACGGCCATCGGTGTCCTGCGGCGGAACGCACGCTTTCAAAGCTCCGAATCAGTTGTATTATGACCCACGCTATTGAACACCCTCACTGCTCATGCACATGTCATCAGATGTCTTTTCCAAACAGGACTTTGCAGGTGCTCGAAGCATGGACATAGGCAATACCAACGCGGGAAGCACTAGACGCGATCTCTAGGATCAAGAGAAATTGGCCACCTGTTTGCCAAGCACCAGTCACTGAACTTCATGGCATGAAAACCCACTGAGCTCCGCGCCATGAGGCACCACTGAACTTGAAATACCACTGGGCCCCGCGCCATGAGAAACCACACCCCTCAACCCCACGCTCCCAGCCCCCACCATCCTCAGAGATACGTGACCTTGAACGCCATCCGCAAAGTCTCCTTCACCCGCTGCCTGAAATTAATCTTGCGGCGGCGCAAAAGCAGCCCGCAGATAAGCAGGAGAACCACCACCGCAAGAAGCACCGGCGAGTGCGTCTTCACGCCGTTTTTCGAAAGCACGTAGTAGCACCGAAGACGCTCCCGTATACGCTGGAGTGTAAGGGCCGCCGCCGGCGCGTCGCCGGGGCCTCCCGCCGATGATGGCGGCTCCTGTGATTGCTGCTCCGCCCGGATCTGCTGCATGCTTCGGTACTTCAAGCTTCTCTCACGAGCATCGATGCGCTCCTGCTCCTGTTCCGCGGCCCGGGCCCGAGCCTCGCGTGCATGGAGCTCTTTCTGCGCTTTCTTCCTGGCCTGCTCCTGCTGTGTTTTCAGCCGCTGCACCTCCTTCAACTTCGCCACGGCCAGCGCGCCGCCGAACACTGTGTTGGACTCCGCAATGGCAAAGGCAGTGGCAAAGTCGCCTGCGTCCGGCAAGACATTGAGCACATACATGTCGAACCAGCGCTTCAAGAAGCGGTCTTCCTGGCGGCCCTGGAATTCTAGCGCGTGGTACGTGTCACTGAACTGCTGGAGCACGGAGCCGTCTGTTCCGGCCTGGAGAGCGTCTCGGCTCGTGTAATAGAGCAAGAAGATGTGGAAAAGAAGGTTCAGCGGCGCGTCTGCAAGGGCGCCGTAAAGATGGGCCATCTGGTCAACAACAACGTGTTTCTGGAGGCTCTCCACCAACTGCTGCCTGTCCTGTATGTTCAAGGAGGCCTCCGGCACCACCTGCGGGTCCAACAAAAGGCCGACCTCGGTCAAGTACAAGGTGGTGATTTTCAGGAAGAGCTCCTCGCTGATCAGCCCGCGGTCGAGGTTGCGGAAAGCGGCGGGCTGCAACTTGCTGACCATGCCGAACGACCGCACAATGTCCTTGTTCATGAAGATCTTGAGGGCCAACTGATAGTCGTCTGCCATGACGTGCTCGGGGGCCGAGCTCTCCAAAAGATATGAGTCCATGGCGAATGCGGCGGACACGAGGCGACAGCGGTATTTCTGAATGTGTTGGACGAGTTGTTTTCAAGCTGCTGATGGTTTCAAGCTGGCTATGTTTTTAAGGTGGCTAAATTCTCAAAGCTGCCTATGTTTTCAAGGCGGCTAAATTCTCAAAGCTGGAGATGTGGTTTCAAGCGGGCTATGTGTTTTTGACAATTGCCGCCTGAGTTCTTGACAGTTGCTGACTAAAGTATTGCTCGCCGATAGTTGACTAGGGGCCGGTGACCTGTGTCCCCGAGATCAGAATCGGAAGACGGTGCGAAAGGTGGAGTACCGAGGGCCAGGCGCGGCGTTCCGAGGGCAGCACATAAAAAGCACCGAGGGCCGCTGGCGCTCTGGCACCGCTGGGCTGGGCTGGGCTGGGCAGCAAATTCCCGGTCCACCGTCCTCGTGTATCTGACGGCCGGGCGTTTTTCAAATTGGTCGATAAAAGAAGCCAAAAAAAAAAAAAGAATGCGGCAGATTTAGGCGTTGCGCGTCTCGCTGGGCCCGTCAATAGACTGGTCGTCTGGGCCCACGCTATGAATGATTCTCTGTTTCTGGTCTCCGCTTTTGATCTCCGTTTTTGATCTCCCTTTGTGGTCTTTTCGGGTCTTTTCAGGTCGTTTCTGATCTCCGTTTCTGATCTCCGTTTCTGGTCGATTATGGTCGATTATGGTCGATTATGGTCTCCGTTTCTGGTGGTCTATGACCGTTCGTTTATGGTCGTTTCTGGTCTCCGTTTATGATCTCCGTTTATGATCTCCGATGGTCGTTTCTGGTATCCCTCGGCATGTCGCTTATTCCGGCAGGAAGACGTCCCGGTTATCCTGGTCGTCCTCATACAAAGGCGGGGCCGTTCCCTGAAGCCTCAAAACGTGTCTTTGGCCGAAAGAAAAGACTGTTCCTGCAAGTAAGCACCAGTACGGGATGGCGCCTCGGGTGCCCATTTGGCTGGCGACGGCACGAAGGGGAGCAAGGCTGGAAACAAGTTTGCTGCCAAAACACGGCCACACATACCTTACCGGGCCAAGAACGCCCGGCTTTCGGCCTCGTGCTCCGAGTCCGCATGCGACAAAAACAGGTCGGGTTCCGTATAGCTCTGGGTGGACTCCCCCGTCGAGCCTCCGCTGTGCTCAGGCCTGAAATGCCGGGAGGTCTGAAAACCCGGGGATCTCCAGAACGGCAGTGCCCATGCTCCAGCCTTTGTCGCCGCTTCCCGTGCCCGGGAAGATGTACAAGTTAACGACAAACTCTTAGATGTCCGCGCTGGGCGGCCGGAGCTTAAAAAATGGCCCATTTCAAGAGAAGCAAGTGTTTCAAGTCGTGGGAGAAGCCCGGGAACGGGAGGCAGCTTTCCGGTTAAGTCCCGGTTGACGCGCAAGTGAGCAAACCCCACCATCACATTTCCAAGCGTCAGGAGAGAAACCAATGTCGGGAGCACGCCGGCACAAAAGCCCGTGTCTCGGCATCGCCGTGCCTTGGCTCGGGTACCTGAAGTAAAGCCCCACACAGAACGAGACGCCGCCCATGTCCATAAACTTGGCCAGTCACGGCGGATCACATGTCGAAAGCGGGCGGTCTGCCGCCACGGCCCTTGAAGATGAGCGCCGGCGTGCTGGAGAGGCCCGTGCCGATCCTCTTGTTAGTGACCAACGGGCGAAAGCAGGCCCATTTTCAAGAACGGGCCCAGCTTCGAGGATGAGGATGAATCTTATTTATTCCGAAATGAGAAAGATATATGGAATCGCTTTGTCAAGAATCTTACGAGAAAACTGGAACTGTGTTATTTAACGCTAAAGAAAGTAAAGAAGGAGATAATGTATGACTGTCTGAATCTTTACAAAGTATTGGGTCTTCGCTTTTTAATAGCTATACTAAAAAAGTTAGAATAGACGGAAACGTATTAGACAACATTGGAAAAGAATAGAAAGAAATGATAAAAGAATCCCAAGTGATGAAGAAAGTTTTAATTGCATCAGAAGAATCACGTATGTTTTGTCAGCTAACAGATGGGAATGTATAAAATATTGGTGGAGTAGACGAAGTGATGATATAGTTATGAAAATTAAGATTTTGACTTATTTTTGGCAAGTAATAAAAAAGAGAATTGTGTTAGACAATGAGTATTTGAAAGAGAAATGTTATGAAAAAAATAGTAGAAGAAATGCTGAGTAAGAGATGTTATAGTTTATTTGCCTTTATTAGAAAATAAGAATTTTGAAGAAAAAACGAATGACTTAGTTGCACATTATGACAAAAATATCCTGGCTATAAAAATATAAAAAGATTGCTAAAACATAAGACGGAATAATAGCAAAAATCAAAAAATAGACTATGGATATAGATATAAAACATGTAGAAGAATACCTGTAATTGAGTAGTAGAAGAATTAATGGATTTAGAATTATTAACAGAAGAAATTGATGTTGAAAGAAAAAACAAGTTCCGTACTTGATATGTTGGAGTTATGAAGGAAACACAATAAAGAAAGTACTGGAAAAGATTGTATAAACGAACTTGTGAAAAATGTGTTCAAAATAATCATGGAAAAAGGTGTAGTAGTAATGTAGGCTTGGTACGGATCAGGATACAACTTTCAAAATGTATTTAAAAGAATGAAGTACATCGTCTCAGTTTATAGTTAAAGATACTAATATAATATACGCAGAATTAATTGATATAGAGTTGAACACAAAGTCTTATCAAAGGATCCATATCTTTTGCAGTTTGAATAAAGCTGCAAAAGCATTCAGAGTAATAATTAAAAAATACTCGCTATAAACAAAGATAATAAATTTGGAATGATAGTCGAAAAAGAAGAATATTTAGCTTACGAAAAAGATAACAAATTTGGAACAATTTAAAAAACGCCATAGGTCATTGCCACATAAATGTATATGCTATGAATCTTGTATAATACGCTTTGAATACGGATATTAATACTAACATATTCACCCTATCATCATTAAGTATGAAATTAATGGAGAGTCGTTTACCAAAGAGCGCTTCTCTGGTAGTGCCTACAAAAGAAGAATGTAAGTTTTTGAAAATGGAATATATAACGAAGAAATATCCTATGCCAATGTTGTATCATCATAACCTGGGGCAAATGAAACTATTGAGACATTGTTATGGGGCTGCATCTAAAGTAACAAATATAGACTGGAAGAAAGTGGTAGCTAGAAAATTAAATTAACTTACTAAGAAGACAATAAGCCAGATTATTGTGAAGACTTTGTTCCAATATGAATGGATGGAAGATTCACATGCAAATGGTCTAAAGAAGGGACGATACATATCATATCCACAATTTATTAGTAGCTAAAGAAGGGTTCGATATCGAACGTACACAAGGAACAGAATATAATAATGTAGATAAAATATTCGATAAAGACATAGATACATAATATCAGAAGATAAACACAGTTCTTGTGAATGCGATGAAAGCCTCGTCCTATTAGAATGATGGCAGAAACAACTCTAAATGGTGTGGGGCATAGTAAGTTTGTTCAAACCCTATAGCTTAATATACTTAGGCAAATAACTACAAATAAACCTTACTTTTATAATTTAGATAAATATCTATACGACAAAATAATACAAGGAAAAAGTGAAAGTCAAATTTATGCAACCTCAAATGGTATTCATCACTAACTAGATCTAGGTACAATTGTGTAAGAAATATAAATACATATATATAATTTATAGCGATACAATATGGTTTATACATAAGGAAAGATAATGTAGATTACAAAAAATTAGAGCAAGGTTTAATACTAATTTATGGTCTCCAAATGATAGCTCAGAAAATAGCAAAAATGGGATAATAGATAAAATGAAAATAGAAGGACCCAAAGTATATGCGTCCGAATACTTAAACAAAAATGCTGAAGGAAATTAAGCTATATTGTAAAGGAGCACGAAGTAATATGCTTAGTATAAATTTTAAAACATTTAATGAAAAATAATAATATAGCTTACGAATTCGAGATACTAAAGAAAAGAATAGTGGGTATAAACATTACGACTAAATTGAAGAAATTAAATGAAACGTAATATGAATCCACTTATGTTAAATATATAGAAACCCATAGAAGATGACAAAGTGGATAAAAGAAAAAAAAAATTAGAATCGGAAAACGAGGCAGAAATATTGCAATACATATTAAAAAGAGCCTAAAGATAAAAGATTGGCTCCAGTGACTCAAGAGGAGAAAATTTGTTTCAAAACATGCAAATCAGGAAAGAAATTTATAACGGCTGAATGCTATAAGGGATCTTGTTGGAACTAAGAGACGAATAAAACAGAACAAAGAGATGAATATAAATATAAAAAAGCAACTGCTTAAACAAGTGAATTACTTTTAACCTCGTTTGAAAAATATAGAGGCAAAAATTTGTTGGGTTGCGATGAATTTTTGTAAGGCGTTTGTTGATTTGTCGTAAAAATAAAATCGGACAGGTTTTGTGTTAAACGTGTGTATGTACGAAAACTTCGGCCGCTGCGATGGCGCCGCCTTGGCATCGGCCCATTTCCATCTGCCGGCGGTTTGGTGCAAAAAATGACTCCGGCGTGATTCGAACACGCGCATCTTACGATAACAGAACTTGAGTCTGCCGCCTTAGACCGCTCGGCCACAGAGCCTTTCATGGGTGAAAACCGGGCTGGCTAGATGTATTGAGTAGTTTGTATGGCGCCCAAGATTCTTGTGATGGGAGACAGTATATATTTTTTATCTAGCTCGCGGTTTTTCTGAGGTGCAAAAGATTCCATAGGTTGGCTGCAAGAGCTTCATCTCTGTGTGAGCATCTGGACCGCGTCATCTCAAAAGAAAGTCATTTCTAATTTTTTGTCTGCCTTTTCAGTTTTCTGAATATCCAAATGAACTCTGGTCACGGGCTCTTGGGAAATCATATTCTATGGGATGACGACATTAGCTTATTTATGCTTGATTTTGCTATGGGCAGACGTCTTTTTGAGAGGATTCACTTACTCTATGGTCGATTTTGGTGCACCCGCCTTACCTGAGCTAATGTTGCGATCTATAATAATTTTTTTCTTTTTCGTGAGTGGTGGGGTTTCACCTCCCTCCAGTAAAACCCTGTAACATGATGTATTTTTCTGAAAAAGAATTATCCCACGAATGAAATTTATACCCCGTAGCTGGGAGCTGTTTAAAGGTTTTTTATATATATTAGTTATATAGTTTTGCCCCTTTAATCAGATGAATCTAACCAAAAAAAAAAAAACTCATCTTCTTGGGCGAAGGAGTCTGAAGTGGAGTTTACCTATCTTGAGATTGACTGGCTGATCGGTGCGGGTAAACAGTTCAATGAGTTATCTTGTTAAATCCGATGTACCTATATCTGAAATTTAATATGATACATATAAATATTCGATCTGTAGTATTTGAATTGGGACAAGGTTAATAGAACTGAATATTAGGGTTCTGCTTTAGGTACAATTTCTATTATTGTTGGTTTAAAATTGTACAAAAACAAAAAGAACATGGACTAAATGAAGAATCTGAGATACTCGTTTACTTCTTGTATTTTCGGTTATATTGTCTCCCCCCGGAGGTTTTTATATTATATTATACCTAGATTTTAGTACTAGGTTATATGTGATATTCGATTGGTCAAATACACAACTTTTATAATAAATATATAGATAGATAAATTGATTGATTGATTAAATATATCCTATCTTTATGAACTAAATTTTATGTTAGCTTCGTCCCCTTAATTATCGTGCTCCTGCTTCTTAAGCTCTATACTTCTTTTAGGGACATTTTCCTGCTTTTTTCTATTCCCCCCAACATATCTCTCATCCTAGAGAGATCCCGTAGAAGGTTGTTCTTGTTCTTGTAATTATATATATATAGGCACGATTAATGAAAACGGTTGAAATCTGATATTGAATAAGTATTTCATGGCTTTGGGTCAATGGAAAGGTAAACTTAGAAGTATAATACTTGTGATATCTAAAAGATTACTATATATTTTTTTACTAATAATACTGATTACATGTATAAAATATTGTAATAATTTTACTCATACTATTACTAACTTGGGTATTTGAATAAATACGGCAATCAAATGACGTGAGGACGTGATCACTCGTGGATTTTCAATATTGTAGTAGCTTTCAATCTTGTAATACGGGAAATTGTTGCGCCATGATATAGGAACATATCAACGTCAATACTCCGCAAGTCAAAATCCGGCCCACCCTCTTATTATAATCACGGCCTGGAAAATTTCTGTTTACGCATAGGATATTACCTGCTCGATTCCCAGGATAAGCCTCCGATGGCTTTAACATGGTTGGAGAGAACTTATAGAGCTAACTTTTTGCGACTCGCTCGTCTTCTAGTGTGCTTCAATATTGTGGTGATCAACCGATTCGAATTGTCATATTTTCCAAAGAGGTGTCGATATATTCAGTAGCCTGGCGTGTTCATAGTTTGATACGACTGCATTTATCTGATCGCGAACTTGTATCCTAAGTTCAGGGTGCACCTTCTATTGTATTAAAGAGTAGCTGTCAATACCATTGCCCGATGTCCTTTGATATAAATCATTTCGAAGTCTCGCGTTCCTGAAAGCCTTAGTCAAGATGATCCTCAATAAAAAAGGCTCGTCGAGTTCAGCAGATATAAAAGATCAAAGACTATTCTGCTCTCCAACACAGCTCAAAAAATCATTCTGCAGGAGTCATGCAAGACCAAAAGATCAATCAAAACACCCCGGAATTCTTCCCCACGACATTACTTATACAAGTCAGCAGAAAGGAACGACATAGTTCAAGTTTTAAGACGGCTTCATGGCATACTTTGAAGCAGCATTTGATGGCGCATCTCATATATATACAAGAATTTCATAACAATGGGATTAGGGTACCTGGCGCTTTGATTAATACCACTGATCATAACGGAACAGTCAGGTAGATATAGATGATCAACTGCGAAGGGCCCTATTTTCCACCCCAATGTGGCACACGGCTAGAAAATCCCATATCGTCTCCTTTATTTTTAATCTGGCAGAAAAGCCCGTTTCTAGCTCAACTCAACCTGATTGAAGGTATCAAACTTTGATATCAACAAGTTGAACTACAAACCATGAAAAACCGTGCGATCGCAGGCAACGCTTATATATATCCCGATGACATGGGGGACCTCAATAAAAAAAACATGATCACAGCAACCGAGCAATAGCCGAATAGGCTACGAGAATTCTAAAGCTTTTGGATTCCATCGAGTCACGCTGAATTTCAACAAATTCACCTCAGATTCGTTGTTATGGATTTTTTGTGTGCAAAGATGCCACTGGAAAGCCGATGTTTCTGGTGGAAAGATTCGACGGAGAAAAAAGTTCCGAAAAAGATGTGATGAAAGGACGATAAACCGTACCGCCATAATTATTCTGCCTTATATAATGTTTGAATGGGGACTTTTATGGACGGCGTCTGTGAGGAAGGGATACTTTTAAGAGTTTCCGGGAGATCTGTCGCTTTCGCTAGAGTAAAAGCTTTCACTGAGCAGGTATTTCAAGAAAGCTCGCTGCCCTAGAATTATGCATTGTGGGTTTATAAGGCGCCTTGTCTTGGCAGGCGGCTTTTTAACAGTTGTATTTGGAGATCGAAAATGTTCTTGAAACGGAGTTATAGTCTTTGTGATATCAGTCTCGAGCTGTTCCGTATATTGTCCCCTTGATTCTGTGCTCTTGAAGAAACAAAGATTTATATTTTATAGCACCTTTGGGTGATTGAATTTGAAAGAACAGCTTTGTATTTTGTAACAATGATTTAACAAGTGAAGAACGCCAGCCCCGTGAGTCTACATGAAGGTTTGGCTCCAGACAAGACTCGGTGAGAACTTTGGATCTGTATTGGTTGGTCCACCACTCTCTACACTCCTCACAGTGGAACTCTCGAACACACGGAAAGACACGGAAGTAAACTCCTCTAGTCCTCTCTGACCTTTTTGGTTGAAGTGGCTACTCAGGAAATTAATTATTGAATTTGATGACATGATAGGATGAGAATAGATGCGTTCCAAAAGGCCTTGAGGGGCAGCAGAAGGAGAAAATCGCTTTCCCACTCATCCTTCTTTGGATAATGACAAGGTTTTACATAATAGTTTTGATAAAATACATGGATCACTAATTCTAGCTTGAATCGGCTTTTATTCTGCGAATCTGTGAAACAACACGGACTTATTCAAGACGATATCGTGAATGAGACTTCACGCACGAACAGCCCATAGTACAAAATATTCCTCGAGGGAAGGTCCAATTGCACAATGGCAGAATAATCATTGTTCAAGAAGATACACTTCGACGCCAACACAGTGTCTGGGATATCTTCAACTCTTCCTCGTGGATGTTCGGTCAGTTCCTTATCTGCATGTATTCTATTGCAGTCATAAAACACCCATTCAGTGACAAGAAAGGTTTCTTGGCGCCTAAGAGTCAAATCATGTTCAATTCCTCGTCCACAGATTCTGTAGTTTGATATTGAGTTATCATTCTCATCCCTTCATAATCAAACAATCGCTTGTGCTTTTCCTCTGGGTAGGCCACGAATTGTAGTCAGCTCAGAGTCCATGACCTTCGAAAAGTGATTCTCTACTTCCATCTTTTTGGACCCAGAAAGTCCAAAAACTGGGAACATAAACTCTTTAAATAGCTATCGAATGCTTCGCTATTTTGACCAGCCATTCTTTGATCAATATCGAGACTGTCTGAATTGGCACGCATTTGTTCATGTTCTAAAACAAGTCATCCCGGAAGATTTCTAAACTTTTTACCTCCTTGTTATTTTTTTGCAGTCGCTTAAAATCAGTTTTAACAGAACACGGTTAGCTCAAGACTTGACTGCCTCTGCATCATCGGCAACGGCCCCTCAGAGCTATGTATAATAGGTCAAGAATTTTTTAAATGACCCATTCTAACACAAGCATTCTAACAAAAACATTTGAGGAAAGCTTGAATCACAATCCCTTGTGCATAACGCAGCTGAGTTGCCTGTTTGCTCTACTCCAACCCCATCATACACCCACTTTTCCCGGTAAAGTCCATGAATTTAGTTGAATCTCTAAACCTCCTGAGTCTTTAATCAGATTATCTCTTCAGAAAGCCCAGTAAACAATAAGAAAAACACTTTCCAGCTCTGTTTTGTCACTACTTTTCAAATGATCTCTGAGCAGTGCTTGTTCATGTGGCAAAAACCTCTGAATCTCAAAAAAGCCGAGAGTACCGCAGTTCCTTTGTCTACCATCTAGACCCGTCCCTGATTTTTCTCTTTCTACATTCAGCTACGTAGTGAACATTAATATCCGCTGTATAATATACCCTATTTCCCTACCTGATGGTCCTTCCCGTTTGGACCGTGTGCCGGTGTGTTCCGGACTATAAATACCTCACCACATCGAGTATTTCTTCACTCAAGCTGCTTCCTCTGGCAAGATCGTTCACGGAAACCGCAATCTGACACAGCTCCAAAGCCTTGTATTCGTCCGCATTGCAAGCACGCATTTGGGTCTCGTCGCTTCCAGAGACGCTCTGCCTGGCATCTGGTCCAACGGTTATGCCGTCTGAAGGGGCGAGTAAATGCTGAAGGCGAGTGAACTCCAAGTCCGAAAGCTCTGCAGCGCCGTCCAAAGCCTCGGAGACTTTGAAAAGATTCTTTTGTGCCATCTCCACGCAATCGTCCCCAAGAGAAAGTTGCGGAATGGCGAAGATCTTTCCCATCATGTTTCGTTTACCCGTACTGCTTGCAACCTGAGAAAATTGCGGCCCCACGCCTCGGCTTGTGGAGCACGTGGACAGACGCTTGTTCATGGATGGAAAGTTCACGTTGAGCGCCTGGCCAGTTTCCATGTGCAGCACCACTTTGTCCACCAAGCTGATCAAGCGCAGGTTCACGAATTGAATGTTCTGTGTGACGAAGTTGGCCTTGAACAGCTTGTCGTACGACGTTTCCTCCACGTTGAAAAACCCCTCGTCTTCGTAGTAAATGTGGTGAGAGTCCTCGGTGGACACGGAAATCACGCGGTGGTTCTTGACCTGGGCAAGAAGCCGCATGGCTTCGAGCTCGTCTTTGAGTGCGAGCAAATCCGTGATGGGAATCCCAGAAACATCCGGGGAGTCGCTGCACGTGAGATGGAGACCCTCGTTTGGCCCTAGAAGCACCAAATCCGGCGAAAAGCCGGAAACGTGCGTGGGGAGAATCACGTCAAAAGCCACCAGCAACGCCTCGAGCGGCGAGCCGTTGACATACCAGAAATCCGGGTTCAACGGGTCCTGGCCGTACGTGGGGTTTCGGACGAGTTCCGAGGTTTCCTTTACAAACTCGGCGTCAAATTCAACAGACTCCTTTTTTTGAATCACCCCCTTGGCGCCCCGCAAAAGAGCGTTGAGTTTCCGCGTGTACGTGTAGTATTTCTGGTGGGCCTCTTTCAAATGGCCAAAGTCGCCCGCAGAATACGCATCCTCATAGTCGGGCAATTCGCTTGCTTTGCGTCTCTGGCCCGGTTTTTGCGCCTGGAAAAGTCCGCCTGCAGAATTCACCAGGTTGGGGTGGAGAGGGCCAACAAACACCACTGTATGGCCCGCCTCAACTAAAGCCGGGTGCAAGTACCGGGCATTTTTTTCCACCCACGAGTCGGTGGAAGATATGAGAATATTGAGCGATGCCGCTAGAGGCAAGGCCCCAAGAAGCGTGCAGAAACTGGAGATTATGGAGAGTCTCATTCCTAACAAGAACAAAGTTAAGCGTACACGACAAGACGGTCAGTGACAAGAAATAGATGTAACTTTCGGCACGAGATATCTGCGAGAGTACGTACTGTTATACCTACTTGCCTGAGTCGACTAATTAATTAGTCATGGTGCTTATCGCTGCCCATGTGGGCCACCCCGTGCACCCCGGTAATTAGGCTATTGTATTAGGCCAGACGTTGCGGAAAGCTCATTTTGGCGGCGCGCGTCTTATCACATCATAAAATACGGATGGTTCTGTGCAGAACAATGTTGTCTGGCAGTTAGCGAACACGTGCCCGCCTCTGCTGAAAGGCGAGAACTTTCTTTTACTTATAAGCCAGACTGTTAAGGAGAGCCTTAGGTATTTCATTTCCAGAATCTGTGAAAAGGTCGCTCTGGCAGCGAATTTTTGGCTCGTCCCGCAACCTGAGCCTCGCACCCACGTGACACCCCGGATTAATTGAGACAGCCACGTGTTTCCTGCACACGGGTAGATTGATGTCTTCACATCGTGAAAACGGGAATATTGTGTAAAAAAATGGAAAACATGGATATTCAGTGGAACAGAAGGTATCAGCACAGAGTAAGCCTCGAAATTCATTTTACAATCTGGCCAAAATTTGAAGGGCAGGCTAAGCGCATGTGGCAAGGTTAATAACGCGAGTCGCGAAATTACAAGGGCCATATCGTCATATCCAGTATTATTGCTTTATTGTTGGATCCCACATCCACCGAGCACTCGGGGTTCACTGTTTATCAAGCATATCCAGTCCACTTGTTTTAATGATTCAGTAATGACGGCAGTGACCCTGATTTTGAAAGGTGCAAAAAAGTGCTGGACTGGCGTATCTGGAAAAGGACAATAGAACCTGGGTTCCGCGTACCATTTGACTTCTTTGGGAATTGAGTTGGGGGTCTAGAATTGCATTTTTGGATACCGTCTGAACTTACTTGATAAAAATGTCAGCTGAATGATTTTTTTTCCTGAAAGTAAAAATTTTCTGTTATTTGTGAACAAAGCCCGCACGTCGGTATAAATGAGTTGAACACTTTATTATAACAGGGCAGAAAAGGAACCTCACGAGTTGGAGTAATATATTCTTGTTGCTTATTGGGCAGATGTGGGTGTCTCATTTTCGGGATGGATAGTATAAGTGAAGAAAAAACAAACTTCAGCTCTGTTTCAATGAATTTGATCATTTATGATTTCTATTTAAAAGGGTCTTCTCCGGATACTTAATTCTTACTCTGATACTTTCCGTAAGAAACGACACTATTGTTTAGGATCTTCCACCACCGCAGACAAGATTTCGATATTTCAAGAAAGTGCTAATTGAAGACGATCAAGGGTTAAAGACCTATTTTTACAAGCTCGTTTATCCTGGCTCTGTGGAAACCATTTTTCTTCCCTCGTGATATTGATTCGCTAGTGCTGGTAAAGCAGATTCAAAAGAAGCTTGCCCCGCAGTTTAGATTCCTTACTAGGCGTTTGATCAGATCAAATTACTCGCCACTTCAATATACTCATGTCGGCAAAAAACTCATTCTTTGCATTTTTGATCAATACTTCACTAGCCGCGTCAACACCACAATCTAGAAGAAGTTAACCTCTCTGAGTTGCAGATGACTTTGTTACAATAAAAAGATTTCCTCCATGAAAGCCACTTTTGTTCATCAACTCCTTCGAAGAAATCGCAAATAATGACTTATTTTCCAAGAAAAAACTTAAGCTATCTGTTTTTTTAATTATTTTAAGGTGTCGCAATGGAGATAGCTCAGTATGAACAACCTCCGGGCTCACCTAGTACTTGCGGCGCTAGGACCAAAAATGACGACGAGAAAGACCAGTTTTATTGATTTATTTACCCCTCAAAAAAACAATCTTTTAAAGAAAATCAGTATACATTGAGCCCGAAGATGACCTCCAAAGAAGGCAGTGCTATTCTCATCATTCTGTTGCAAACATAGAGCATGACAGGTGTCTGCAATAGCCTTCTGTGTAAGATTCCCTTCCCTTCAACCCTCTGCTGATACAGGAGTTAAACCAGGTTTAGCTTAGAGGCTATGATTGATTAAGCCGTGTTCATGTGCTGTTGACACTAAACCTTTTCCCACCACAGTCTTCAAAATCTCATTTGAAGATTTGCTACTACCACCAAGATCTGCACTTAAGGCAGTTTGACTGAAATTACATCCAAGGCGTCATCACTACCTCAACTTCTGCCTACTTCAAGCAACAAAATTATTGCTGCCAGGAAAAAAAAATGGAACGCAATCCTCCATATATGTGAGTATGTCGTTCCTGGGGTTTTCAGACTGATTCACGCACCGGTTTATTTTCCAAAATCAAGTCAGGTGATTTGTTAGATTTAAAAAGTTCCTGTTTTCCCTCGAATCAGACTTCCTAAACACCTCAGCATTTCCAATTTCACATAGCTTCTTTGCGAACCTTGTTTGCTGGCTGTCCTTACCATGGTATTCTAGTTTCAAATGCGCACTTTTAACTACCAAAGTTCCTCTGTTATCTATAATTTTTATACGACGGCTTTCAGCGTAAAATTTTTAGCGATTCCCAAAAACATCAAGTTCACACAGATAATTCAGCTTCTCCCTGTTTTACATCCAGTTCAAGTAGCCATCTTGATCTCGAGCTTGTCGGTCTCACGAGCCGAGGTCTACCCCACACTCTGCGCGACATCAACATGCACAATATCCGAGGAATATATTTACGAACACTACATAAATACATCGGGTGTTCTTGCACTGAAGTCCTTTGGCTGCCGGATTCTGCTTTCTGGCTTGTATAGGCAGTGTCTTCTTAAATCGATGGTGCACTTGGAAAAAAAGCAAACACAGGCCTACTGGCCCCGGGGCCCCGGGTCCTATGTCTCTATGACTGATAAATTGGACATCGTATATCTCAAGTATACCTCGGCAGACCCCGTGCCCCAAGGCTGTACGACAGTAAACTTCATTTTTGCCCATGGCACCGGAATGAACAAGAGTTTGTGGAAACGCCACATTGAAGAATTGTACGGCAAAAACAAAAGCTGCACTGGCTGGAAGGTCGGCTGTGTGCTTTCTGTGGATGCGGTTGGCCATGGCGATTCGGCACTCATAAACAAGGAAAAGATTTCCTGGGCCAACGACTGGCGAGACGGCGCCAAGGATTTGGTGTCTGTGATCAAACATGAGATCGAGACCACGGGCGACTTTCTTCCCTCTGCGTATACACGCAATATTGTAGTGGGCCATTCAATGGGCGGCTTCCACGCCACGTATGCCTCCTTTTTGGAGCCGACTTTGTTTGATGCGTGCGTGGCCATAGAGCCGGTGATTTTCATCGACCAAGGCGCCAATCCGCTTGCGGTGGCCCGGATGAAAAAGATCGGCCTGGTTTTGCGGGACCAGTTTGCGTCGAGGGCAGACGCGGACGCCTTCTTCCAAAAGGGCAGTTTTTATAGGGTCATGGATCCGCGCGTGCTTGCCGATTTTACCAGCGACGAGCTTCATTGGGAAAACGGGCAGTTGAGGACCAAGGCCACCAAAGACGCGCAGCTTGCAGCATACCTCTCTGCGGTGTACTCCGTTCGTTTTGGCCAGAACATCTTGCTGTTACTCGAAGTTCCCTACTTGCTTATCACAGGCGAGCAGGCCGCGTGGAACTCGCCCAAATCGGACAGGCATATCGAGAAGTCTGTCTCTAGCCACTTGCTCGAAACAGTGAAACTCCGGGGCGACCACCTTGTGCATGCTCTGAATGTAGGGGATACCGTAGATGCCATCTACAGCTTTGCAGGACGTAGGGCCGAATTTGTGGCGAGCCACAGAAATGAGTTCCCCGAGGTCAAACTCGAAAACAGCGCCGGCGCCAGGGTCAAGGCCATGTTCAAGCACATGTGGAAAGGAGATATGGACAAGGCGTTCCGGTGGGATCGACCCGAGGCCAAACTCTAGATTTGGGTCTTTTGGGAGCAGTTTTCTGAATCGAAGACAGCATATTTATTCATGTATGGAGCTCAACAAATGCATCGTAATGTTTATTGCAGGAGTTTCATCTGGGTGCTGATGAGGATCATTGAGGAAATGAACATCACGTCTGCTTTTCTGCTCCAAAGTCAACTTCGTCGTATAAGGAGAGAAAATACAGCTGCCGTGTTCCTCGATGCCTTGGTTATACGGCACCCTCAGTCACCCGGAGCCAGGTATCGACACCACTACAAACGTCGGAGCGTTTTGGCAAATTTACTCGTCTGTTTGTGAACAAAGTTTATTGTTTAATGAGGCTATACTTTTTTTTTCTTTTCTTTTTTCAATTTTTTTTTCGTTTTTGTTTTTTCAGTGGGGTATTGTTCTTTGGGAAATACCATCGGTGTTCGAGCCATTGACTCAATGGCGGGCCTGGGGCTCTGTTACCATGTTATTCCCTATTTCTAGAGGGACTTATACCCGTCTCCTTGGTGGAGACCCATGGAATTCATCATCGTCAATTTCAGCCAAAACTAGGTAAGGATTCTGTGAAGAAAGGGATTTCTTTTCTGGCTTTGGCCCCAAAGTGCATTTCGAATCAGTCGGTGGGGTTGCTAATGATTCCGCCCCAGAGACGGTTGGCTGAGGTCTTTGGCGACAGTTTCTGCGTTTTCTGCCCTGAACCTTCCAACCATCATCATCAATATCAGTTTCAGGAATATCAGGCATTTTAGCGATAGTCCCGACTTGCTTCGAGGCCAGAGTTGAACCCATGCCCAAATCTGTGGGCAAGTCCTTGGTCAAATTCTGAGTAGATTCATGGAAGATCCCAAGGTCTTTTTCATCATCAGATTCCCGGGCCTTGTCCATAATATTAGTGACTACATTCAGGTTCAGCACCTCGTAGCTGTCCATAGTCAAGACCATAATCAGAGAGCAACCAGAAATCACGTTTCCCAGAGAAGAAAGCTCGAGCTTTTCAGGAACTTTCGTATATGTTCTGCTTGGGCGTGGTTCCTGATAGTCGTCTTCATCGATGTCGGCCAAAACCAGGTAAGGGTTATTGAAGAGCACGGATTCGGGAACAGCGTTTTCTGACCGAAGAGCAAACCATTTCTCGGAAGAAGTCATTCCAATCAGCATCCTCATATCTGTCTTTTTCCCGGTCCGTGTACGAGAGTTTCTACGCTTTCTACCTTGGACTTGCCACCCAGATTCATCTGGGTTGGCAATAGGCAGCAGAGCAACGTTTACAGTTGTGTCCATCAATCTCCCATTGTCATGAGAGTTGAGTCCGACTCGACAGATTCGAGCTTGGCAAATCTTGTCAGTCTCCACAACTAGGCCTGAATCCCGAGGAGCATCAGCTGAGGCAAGCTTGCAGTCTGGGATAAGGGAAACTGCAGAAGATACATCAGTGTCGCCGTCGGACAATCCAGAAAAGCTATCGTCGCTAGCTGGTGAAATGATGGACAAGCTGCTGATTTTTGTGATTCTTAAGCCAGTGGTAGCAGAAACAGCAAACCCAGCAGAAGCAGCAGAAGAAACAGAAGAAGCGGTCTTTTCAACTGAGATGAAACCAGAGTCAAGATTTCCAGTTATCTCCTCAGATTCACCTCGCGAGATCGCAATTTCATTCGGGACTAGGCCAGTTTTACCAACACAGAGTGTTGCAGAGTTCATGATGGTAAACTCAGGCTGAGCTGGAAGCGTCAGAAGGAACACGAAAAGAAAATAACCAATAAGGCAGAGCCCGGTGATTTCCGACACGCAATGGATGATTTGGAAGCAAAAAATCACTTGTGCAATCATGATGAAGCGTTTTTTCGTGAAAGATGGAGAATTAAAAGAGTGTTTGGAGACAAAGGAGCGAACCGTCGTTTATATGGGAAAATTCATTTTTGCAGTCGGCGGCCTAACAAAGTATGGCTGCGAAATCAGGCTGTCGATTCGCGGATCGGCATCTATGTCTGTTGGTGTGTAGCATAACACGAAGACACTACGCAGAGTCTGAATTGCTTACGACAATAATAATTGGGTATATTAAGAGGAAGTTGATTCTAAGGTGAGCTAAAATGTTCTTTCAAAGTGAGATAAAGGGGTCATACTTTTTTAGGTCCGAAGCAGCCACGGCCTTAACAACATGCAGGAAACATAGATTGTCTATTGGAACCCGAGTCCACTACGTATTCGAACAAAAGACAAGATGAATATTGCGAACAAAACCTCTGAAATATTGTAACCTATTACCATTTCTATTAGAATCCAAAGATATGTAGGCTCTAAGCATAGAGTGTGACAACCTTCAAATCACGCCTTTTGTTTGATGTCGTGCATCATCTCTTCTTTGTTAAAAGATGACCGATGCTGTTAACTTCTTCTCACAAGTTGTCAACGTTGTAAATTCAGCTGCACAACATTGTTTTAGTAGATTCATCTGGTTGAAGGAGCAAAGCTATATAACTATGAAAAACAAAAAACCTTTAAACAGCTTCCAGCTACGTACCAAGTATCGAAACTCGGCCCGTCTCCTTCCGTTATTCACGGCTCTAACCATTGAAGTCAAAAATGATTTGAAATATGAGATGACGCAATTTCTTAGGCGTAAGAGATCTACAGAAACCAAATAAGTTTACTTTGAGACATCTTGACGTTTCTTCAGGTAAATCTTTGTTATGATACGACATGAACAAGATTATAGATTCTTGGCATCCTGTATAATACGAAGGACGAAGAGTCTAAACATTCCTGATAGGGGTTACACCTCACCTACTGTATAGAAGGGTTCCGAACTATAAAGGAGCGTGAGGCTGAGACATCCCCGAGGAAGGACAAGACATTTTTAGACATCGAGAATACGACAGATAGACTAGGTTTATTCACTGAGGCCGAACTATCTATAAACCGATCTACTCGTAGTTTAAGAGACAACTGAACTCTGTTTCATAATAATCTTTCGGTTGCGGCCATACCATGCAGAAAGCACTGTTTCCCGTCCGATCAACGTTAGTTAAGCTGAATAGGGCCACACTGAGTAGTGTAGTGGGAGACCATATGCGAAATTGTGGTGCTGCAATCTTTTTTGGATGTGATATCCGCGTAACATACAAATGGCGGGTATACAGAATGAAAATCTTTCATTGCGAGCTTTCCAGATAAGAGAAATATGTGCAGCTGGTTCAGTATTTTTTTCGGTGTATTATCTTTCATATGTGGTGCTTGAAAGAAGGCGTCAAATATACTTCTTAATCCATGGAATGAAATTAGCTCAAGAGTATGTATAGACAAGGTTCCTAAAGTACTTTCACAAAACTTTATTTGGGTAGAAAATCTTCAGTGAAGTAGAGAAATTGTCAATGCAAGCTGTTGTTCTTCAGTAGTCTTTTTGCCTAGGGTTTTTCAAATCAAGTCTCTGAATGTGTACCGATGCAATGTTTAAACAAAATACTATATTTGTTATATTCGCTCTCTGCACTTAATACTTGAATTTGCCGGGGTGCTTAGGTATTTTCAGATCTAGAAGCTGGATTCAGTACCAACATTTAAATTATTTGACAGTGGGCCGATTGAGTTTTCAAACGTTTTCATGAAGCGTTGGTCCTGTGATAAAGTAATACGACATCACGAAGATAGCGGGTATAATTGAATTTACAAGTGTGATTAATGTGAAATTTTGTAGTTCAGAACAACTTGAGTTTGTCAGAGGTGCTTCGAATTATTGTATTTGTTGAAAACATATTGAAGCAGACTTCCAGGAGAAAATACAGTTCACCCGATACCTCAAATGGGCGCCGACGGCGAGAACTCTGCTTCACTTATTATGCTCTTTCAAGTCCAAAATATGAGAGATTCCCTTACAAAAAGCAATCAAGTACCAAGGTCAAAGTGTTCTCTGCATTTTCATGTGCTGTTTCCCTGAGCTACGAAGTTTTACTTGAACTCAAAGGATCTATGCTTCTCATCAATAAATTTGCCCCGTAGCTCAATTTGAAGACGGAATCTCATGCACAGGAAGACTATCATTACAACCTACAAGAAAAACATTCGCCACGATTATATTGATGATTTTGTTGCGAGAAGGCGTTTTCCAATAGAGTTTTTCTGCAGTTTGATGCATGGTGCAACACTTGCAACCTTTATGAATATAAGAGAAGCTGTGTATAGCTTGTGATCCAGCACCAAGACTTGCCTGTGAAATGTAAATGTAGAGTTATATTTATTGCTATATATCTTTTGAATGAAGAAAACATCGAAGAGGCAAAGACCCCACAGATGTATGTTTGATTTCTTTTTTGTATCTTTTTCTGATTTTTT